GTAAAAAAGGTTTTTCAACAATCAAAGTATTTCTCCTTTCATTACTTTTTGTAAATTACCATTTTTTGTAAAGCATCTGCAAATTTTGTTCCATTCTTATCAGGTAGAAAGTTATATAATATTTCTGTCGCCGGTAATCATGAAGATTCTGATGACTGGAAAGTCTGACAATTAGAGAAATTTGTCCCAGGTAAGAAATTAATTCCTTTTCTCAAGAATTTGATCACGTTGCAACGCGTTGCCTTGCAATAATTAGGGAACATATTTTAATTAATTTTGTTTCAATAACAGGTCGAGGAATCTGTTGAACATATGCAATATTTGAAACATTAATTAAAATACTTTATAAAAATATTTGCACGTGAACGTGAATTGAAATTAGTAAGAGTTAAATTTCTGTCTCATTAAGTTTACTAACTGACTGAAGATTGTTAATAAAAAAATTAAGAAAAGGAATCAAAAGAATTAACATATTGCATCGACATACTCCTTGAAGATTCAAATTTGGGATAAATGATTGTAGGATGCAACACGTTTTCAGAAATCGCAATAAAAGTTATGTCATAAAGTGCAATAAAATATTGTAGGAGGATGCACTAAAACGTTGTTAAAACATTACAAAAACGAACTGCAAGAAAGGAAGAGAGAATGAAAACATCCGAGAGAAGCTGAAGCAATTCTGATTTTCTGTGATTGCTTTTGTCTATTGATCGATTCCTTTAAGTTACAAGTAACAAACTTTGCAGATTCGTACAATGAATGTCAATTATAATTATGTAATTAGTTTTTGTCATTAATTGTCATCTTTTTAATCTGTTTCCTTAATAGTCATCATATGCATAAACTGAATGGATAGAAACGATCTTCAGCATTTGATATTTCATTACATCCTTCAATGAATATTTCATTGGTACAAATGAGCAAGCAAAAGCACTACGATTGCTTTCTAATAGTCTCATTAGAATCTCGCCATCAAGGGTTCTCAAGATGGCTGTGAAGTATGAAATTTATATGAAATGAAAATTAAAGTAAAATGTTCATTAGTGTAAGTGTGTCATTTTACTCTCATACGAAGGAAATAATAAGGCAGGGAATGAAAATCACACATTTAAGTTGTTTTGTTTACTATGCCTCTTATATAACCCTGAATCAATTTAAAACTTGTTTTAAAAAGCTTTAACAGCAAATTGAAAAAGGATTTTTGATTATTTCTTTTAATCTGTGATAGCTTAGATGCTTGTCAACATCTGGAAGAAGATATAAACAAAAATCACACAGTAGAAAATGTTCTTGAAGCGTTTCCATTTTCTGCAATTAAGGAATTTTACAATAATCAAAAGAGCTGAGCTATATCGGGTAAGACGAAAGATTATTTGATAAATTTATAAAATAATAATCGAATTATTATTTAAGCGATGCTACGAAATTCTCGGTATCCCTGATAGTTCAGATCAAAACACTGTTCGACGAGCTTACATTGAAATTGTAAAGAAAGTTCATCCTGACAGTGGCCATCCAGAAGCATCTGCAGAAAAGTTTCAAGAAGTTGATGAATGTTTTAAGCTTCTTATGGAAAAATATGCCAAAAATAGAAGAAATATCGAACTCGATCCAGATGATGACGTTAAAGTGTTTGACATTCGTCACACTGCGCCACAACATCGTCAGTTCCTAACGTATGGTGGCTTTGGAATTGGTACACCATTTCAACGTGAAAAGCAATATCAACAACGACGTGCAATGAAAGCGCAAGAAAATGTGCTCGAACATCGATTGCAGAAATCTATTGCAAGTGAAGGTGCCTTGATTAAGAAAGGCGGTGGCGATCACTTCAAGAAACATGCAATTAAAACCAAATACGGATTTGATCGTGTTGTTGAAGATTTGATTCAAGAAGCAATGAACAAAGGAGACTTTAATAATCTTTCAGGTGCTGGCAAACCATTAAAGGATCTTCAATCACAGAATCCTTACGTCGACTTCACAACGCATAAAATGAATAAAATTCTGATTGATAATGGCTTCACACCTGCTTGGATTCTACTTCATAAAGAGATTCGTGTTGATATTGATGAGCTCAAAGAATGTCTAAAAAAAGAAAGATCGAAATTTCATAATCCATTGGAACTTCACGAAACTTTTTTTTGGGACAAAACTCTTAAGAAAGCTCAAGAAAACGTAACGAAAATTAATAAAAAGATTGATAACTTTAATTTAATTGTACCAACAATGAGCAAACAAATGACGCACATTCAATTAAATTCAATAGCTGAAAAGATTCTTAATACAAAACCTGATCATGGTTTTCCAACAATCGAAGAACCAAATAAAAGTCAACAACCTGCAGATAATAAAACAGATTTATTTTCTTTAATTAATTTTATCATGAAATAGAAAAAAATATATTTAATGGATCTTCAAGATCCAAGTTATTTGTGATGATGAATTAAATATTTATTCATTAAAATTAAAAGCTCATGTTAAATCCATCCAAGCTCATGCTTCATAAATCATCGTTGTTTCCAAGGTTGTTTTAATTGTGCAATGACTTGAAATTCGAGTGTCATCGTATTGCAACCTCATACTGTTTTTATTTCACTGCAAAGTTTTTATTTTAAAGACACGAAAAATTAAAGAATATTTGAATAGAAACACAGAATAGCTTTTCAAAAATAAAAGAAAAATTTAATTAAATGCTTCATATTTATTCATTCAGAAATCTTCTAAGTATTGAAACATTTCATTCACATCATTTTAAGAATTCAAACCGGACCACAACAGCAGAAACCAATTGGATCATCTAAATCGTTAGTAACTGTACCAGGTGGACAGGTTAAAGATGCACATTGTACACTTTGACCAGAAGCACAATTTGGAAATCCTCCATCTCCTCCTCCATTTACAGCAGTAATCGCGATGAAAACTGATCAAATTTTATCTTAATAAATTATTAAATTAGTGAACTAAAAACTTGTTACCAAAAATAACGACGAATAATATTGAATAATATGATAATTTACTCATATTCATAGAACTTTATTATTATAAGTAAAACGGAGACTGAAGTTGTAGAATAACTATGAAAAGAATGACAACTCTTCCAGTTATATATCTTCTGTGGGGATTCAAACTAATGAGGTCGAGTTCTTGTTTTGATGACATGTCGCTAAATTTTTTATTTAACTTTAAAAACATCGAAATGAATTGTCTTGGAGATCGTGGAGAAAACTGAATAAATTCAAACAACAAAATAATTTGCTCTAGAATAAATTCTCATTCAACTGCTTTATAATATTAACTAATAAAATTTTCTCGTGTGTGGAATAAAATTCATTTCAAGGCCCAGTAAGTGGGTTTGGAAATTAATAAAACAAGTAGCCCGAATTAAGAGTGGCACAATTGATCACTGGCAGTGATGGGTGCAGACATCAAAAAATGTCTGCAAAACATTAAGCAAAATATCATCTAATGAAAAATAATTGCCACACACATATCTACATTAATAAAATGGAATTAGTTTCTTTAAAATTAATTTTATTATGAAATAGAAAATATATTTAAAGGATCTTCAAGTTCCAAATTATTTGTGATGACTAATATAAAGTGGAGTTCAAATTAAATCCATTCAGTTTCGCCTTTTCCGCTCAATTTCACATATCCATTTGCGACTAAGCGAAGCGCTTTCGGGAATGCAATATGTTCGCTTTTCAGGATTCTTGCTGAAAGTGATTCAATTGAATCATCTTTTAGAATTGGAACAATTTCCTGAACAATTATAGCGCCAGTATCAACATTTTCATCAACGAAATGGACCGTACAACCAGACACGTCATCACCCGACTCGAGTGCTTCTTTTTGTGCATGAATTCCCTTGAACTTTGGCAATAAACTTGGATGGATGTTGATTAAACGACCTTTCCATTTCTGTACGAATTCCGGCGTTAAAATTCTCATGAATCCCGCCAAACAAACAATTTCAACATTTTGTCGAACGAGTTCAGCATGCAAAGCTTCATCAAACTCATTTCTTGTCGAATAATTCTTATTGCTGATGACAGAGGTTGGAATGTTTGCTTTTTTCGCTCTCTCCAATCCATAAACTTCTGATCTATTTGAAATCACATGAACAATCTCCGAACACATTCCCATCGATGTCTCTCGTGTTGCATCAATTAAAGCTTGAAGATTCGAGCCACTTCCAGATATTAATACACCAACACGCTTCTTTGACGTTGTCAAAAGTCTTTCAATACGTTCAACACATGTTGCGAAATGTCTGATAATCAATTGATGTCCACCAGGCTTTGTTGGAATAATTTTTCCGATGACAGAAGCACCTGAACCATGAAGACTCTTCAACAATGCCATTTCATTTTCTGCTGATGCAATCAACACCATCCCAACACCGCAGTTGAAAGTTTTCATCAATTCGAGTTTATCAACCTTTCCAACCGATGTTAACCATCCGAAGATTGGCTGAATGTTGATAACTTTTCCATTAAGTTCAGCTGTTAAATGATGGGGAAGAACTCTTGGAATATTTTCCCATAATCCACCGCCTGTTATATGCGCAAGAGCTTTAACAAACCCAGTTTCAAGTGCTGGTAAAATTTGTTGAATGTAAATCTTTGTTGGCACTAAAAGTTCTTCACCAAAATTCTTCTCACTCGCACTAAACGGCGCAATGTCTTCAAGCTTTCGATAAATCGTTTCTAAAACTTTTCTCACTAAACTCAAACCATTACTGTGAATGCCACTTGATGGTAATCCAATGATGACATCACCAACATTAATTGAATCTCGTTTAGGAAGAATTTTATTAAATTCAGTTAAGCCCAAAGCGAAGCCAGCAAGATCGTAGACATTTGGATCATACATTCCAGGCATTTCTGCAGTTTCACCACCTAGAAAATAAATCAAAAAATTAATTTTCTTAATACATCAATGAAAAATATTGAAATTACCGAGTAAAGCACATTTCGATTGGCGACATCCTTCTGCAATTCCACAAACAACATTCGTAGCGACATCAACTTTTAACTTCCCACATGCAAAGTAATCTAAGAATGTCATGGGCTCAGCTCCATTACACAGAATGTCATTGACACACATGGCAACCAAATCAATTCCAACAGTTTCATGTTTTTCAAGTTGTTGTGCGATTTTTAATTTCGTTCCAACACCATCAGTACCAAGAACAAGAACTGGATCGTTGTAAACTTTCTTCAAATCTCTAAGTCGGAAAAGACCGCCGAAGCTTCCAATCGAACCCAAAACTCCATCACGATTCGTTGATTTCGCATGTGGTTTGATATTTTGTACCAATGAATTGCCCGCTTGTATGTCGACTCCACTTTGCTTGTAAGAAATTATTTTAACTGATTTTCCATCCTTCCATGGTTCACTGATTTTGCTCAAGCAATTAGTAAAGTTTTTAACAATAACTTGTGGCAAGTCACCGTCACGATTCACAACATTTCCAATAAGTTTAGCATCGGAAATTGATTCCCAATCGATTTCACCTCGTGGTAGAATTAAAATCATTCCAATGCCGCAATTAAATGTTTTTAACATTTCCTGATCTTCGACATTTCCTTTTGCTGCCAGCCATCCAAAGACTGGTGGAATTTTCCAAGTAATTGCATCGATTTGTACGCCAAGTTCTGGTGGAAGAATTCGTGGAATATTTTCCACTAAACCGCCACCAGTTATATGTGCGAGAGCTTTGACATTTTCCCTTCTTAGTAATGGTAAAACATCGGACATGTAAAGCTTGGTTGGCGTTAAAAATTCTCGACCAAACGTCTTTCCTGATTCACTGAATGGCGCTGGATCGGACAATTTAAATCCAGTCGATTCGAAGATTTTATTGACAAGACTGAAACCATTGCTGTGAAGTCCACTTGATGGTAGTGCAATGACAATATCACCGACGTGAATGTCATTCATTTTAGGAAGAATCAAATCATTTTCAACGACACCCACGCAATATCCAGCGAGATCGTAAGTTCCAGGACGATACATTGAAGGCATCTCTGCAGTTTCGCCACCAAGTAAAGCGCAATTTGATTCACGACATGCAATTGATATTCCTTTGACGATTAAAGCTGCTGTTGGAACGTCTAAACGACCACAAGCAATATAATCAAGAAATGCTAAAGGTTCAGCGCCGTTACATAAAACATCATTAACACACATTGCAACAAGATCAATGCCAATAGTGTCCCAAATGTTCATCGCTTCTGCAATTTTTAACTTCGTTCCAACACCGTCAGTTCCTTGAACCAACACTGGATCTTTATAATTGACTTCTTCACCTTCACGATTCACAAAAGTCACGTCTTTCAAACGAAAAAGTCCACCAAAACTTCCAACTTCACCAATCACTCCACTTCGGTTTGTTCCACGTGCAAGTGGCTTTATTCGTTGAACAAGAGATTCACCAGCTTCGATATCAACACCACTGTCTTTGTAAGAAATTGTTGACGAACACTTGAAAGCTTTTTTTGCAATATCCCGACGGAATTGTGATCCATCAAATACGACAACATCGCAAGCGCTTGTTGCTAAATTTGCTGCGACAATTAAATCTTGAGCAAGTGCAACGTTTATTAAAACTCTTCCTCCATTTGTCGTCCATTCATTGTCAGAATTTTTCAACGTTCCACTGTGAAAAATCAGATAAAGTTGGTTGCTTGAGATTGTTTCGATTCCTTTTATGATGCAGCCTTTTGTTGATGTTTCAGGATAACCTTTTGATGCCATTACAACCCCAACTGCTGAACAATTTTCTTTGAATTTCAATTCGTCAATTGTGTTTAATTGGTTTGTTGCTGTTGCAATCATAACATTGAACAAATCATGCTCAAGAAGTGGTAAAATAACTTGAGTCTCTGGATCGCCAAAGCGACAGTTAAATTCAAGTGTTTTAGGGCCGTTTGGTGTTAGCATCATGCCAGCATAAAGAATTCCATTATATTTTATTCCTTCCTTTCTTAGACCATCAACAGCTTTCTGAAGAACTTGAGATTGCACGAATTCTAATTCTGCTTTACTTATCAGAGGGCATGGGCAATAAGCGCCCATTCCTCCAGTATTTAATCCCTCGTCATTGTCTTTTAATCGTTTATGATCTTGAGCCGGTAAAAGCATTCGAACATTCTCAGAATCGACAAAGGCAAGAACTGAAACTTCTTCACCACTCAATAATTCTTCAATAACGACAACATCGCCAGCATTGCCAAATTTATGAGAACCGAGAATTTCAGCAGCTGTGCAAGCTTCTTCGACATTTTTTGCAACGATGACACCTTTACCAGCAGCAAGTCCACTAGCTTTAACAACAAGAGCTTGAAACGGAGCTGTCTTTATGAAATTTTTGGCTTCATCTGGATTAGTAAATGATTTGTATTGTGCTGTTGGAATTTCATGTCTTTCCATGAATGCCTTCGACCAATCTTTGTTTGCTTCAATTTGAGCTCCTTTTTTCGATGGTCCAAAACATTTAATTCCTGCTTCATTGAGAACATCAGTTATGCCGTTTGCTAAAGAATCTTCTGGTCCCACAACGACAAGTTCAATTTTGTTTTTTAAGCACCATGCAGCGATACTCTATAAATAAAAAAATGAGAAAAACATTTTATTATCTTCAACAAAATAAAAACAGTTAAAATACCAACAAAAGGTCAATGAAAATGATTGATTTGAATGCAAATAAGCATCACGATTTGGAGTAAACAACAACTGATAAGATCGCTTAATTTTACATACAAAATGAATTAAATTATGAACCAACCTGGAAATCTTTAAGATTTAGATCTTCGGCGATTTTAGCTTTCTCCAATTGTGCTATGGCATGTGATCCTGGCAATGCATAAACAGTTGAAACATTTTTGCTCTGTTGGAGTTTCCAACAAATGGCATGTTCACGACCACCCGATCCTATCACTAAAATATTCTTCATATCTTCAATGTAATTACGAGCAACTTTTAAATATTTCAACGGGATTCAATTGCTTTTAATATATGTACGTCTTATTTAAGCGATTTACTCTTTGATAATAATATTTATTAACGTAAATGAAGATCGCTCGCACACATGCTCACTCACACTATTATAAATAATCAACACAGTGTGACGCAAAGCCGTATGACAGTCAGACACAAATTGTTCTACAAAGTTAAGCAAGGAGCAAAACAAAAATTTTCAACTTGGAAAATAAATAATAAAACAAATCACATTTAATATCTCTTCGTAGCAAAAGGCAAAGAAGATGAATTCAGCTCTCGCTTCATTAACAGAAACCTACACAGACTCAGAGAATGAGGATAATCATGAAGACGATGTTTCAAGATTAGATCCTGAAGAGAAACAAATAAAAGCAGAAATAATAATCCAGCCAAAGAAAAGTTCAAAGCATCCTCGTCGTTTAGTGAGTTATAATGACAATGAAGCTCATGAAGATGCATCTGATGATGAGCTTAATACATCAGAAGAGATTCCACCTGAGAAAGATAATGAAACCGAAGAGGAAGAAGATGGAGGAGATAAATTTGCCAAATATTTCAAGAAATATGGATTTCATTTACCTCCGGAGCCTAAGACAAAATCAGATCCAAAACTTCAAGAAACGATATCAAACATCTATCAAAAGATCAAGAATTCAGAATTTGATCTCAACCAATATATTCAGGAGAAGAAAGAATTTCGTAATCCGAGTATTTATGATAAGCTCATTCAATTTTTTGACTTAAATGAGCTAGGGACAAACTTTCCTCCTGAAATTTATGATGTTTCTATATACGGACCAGAATCTTACTATGAAGAACTTGCAAAAGCACAAAAGCAAGAAATGGACAAATTAGAAAAGCAAAAGAAAGAAAACATAAAAACCGAAGTGATTGTGAAAGAATCGACAAAAAGAAAATCAAAATGGGATCAGCAAGCTCCAGTTAGTGTAACTTCATCCATTACAACATCATCTTCGTCAACATCTGGGAAAACGACTGTCATCTCAGCTTTTGGTACACTTAAGAAACCGAAAGTATGAAATAAACAGTTTTATTAATGACACAACTCAAAAGAAAATTATAAGAAATAAAGGTTAACGAAACTATTTAAATCATGCCCCTAACGCGCTTTGCAGCATTCACTTTTTATACCTTGTTTAAATCTACAAAATAAATTATCTATTCAAATCAGTTCGAAACGAACATACAAAACTTTCTCTTCAAATGACCTCTTAAATTGTATAATATTTCAGAATATTCATCTCGCTGTTTAATTGAAAATTACATAAATTAATTAAAAACTAAAATAACAGTATCTTGTGTTCCGTTCATGACTTTGCACCTTCATTTTTATGTTTGTTTGTCCTCAATAAAGAATATTTACAGTTGAAGTTGCCGACTAATGTAATGTCATAAATCCACAGGTTGATTTATTGAAAATGAAAGCAATAATAAGCAGATAAGGTTACATAACTGATTTGACATTTGAATCACGTTGCTATCGTCTTATGTTAAAGCCTTGTCCCAATGACGGCCCCTTAGGAAGTCGTATGATATTTTCAGGGCTTTTTTGCTGTTGATGAGATTGAGCAGGAAGAAAATTTGACGATGAAGACGGAGAGAGTTTTGGGTTTGCAATAAATTGTTTACTGAAAGACAATAATTACAGATTAAAGTGTGTAAAGCAGAAGAAATTCTTAATTTAAACTCACTTTTGCTCCAAGGAAGACTCACTTGAAGCTGCTGATCCGAGAATCCTTAATCTTGCCTCAGCATATTCTTTCTCTCTCTGTTCAAGTGTTTTTATTTGAGGCTTTTGATTTTGTGATGCGGAAGATAAGGCTGGTGATGAGTCGGGACGTTTTAAAATCGTGACAGTAGGTTTAGGTCGCTGAAGAATTCTTGGTTTAAAATCATCTCCGCCATTTGAAAGTAATGATAAACTATTCTGCTTTGCTGTAGTCATTTCTTGTTCTTTTCTAGTTCTTTCTTGTTTCTCTTGGTCTAATCTCTTTTCGAGCTGTGATGGAAAAGTTATAGCGAGGTTAGAAGAAATCACACGAAAGGAACAGAATAAAAGATTTAAATTAAATGACTCAAGATGATGACAGATGCTTATCTTCGCAACCACCACACACCCTTGGGTGAATTCTTGATTTCTCTTCGGGTCTCCCCCTGAAACTGTAGCTCCCCGGAAAGCAGTTTCAGGTGGAGAGTGTGAAATCTCGTGGAACTTCAAAAAGTTCGCAGCTTTGTATGAAAAACTGAATTTCCAGTGCGCGGAAAACCTACCTGCGCCGCCTGTGATGACTACGAGAAACAAGTTGCACTCGTTAATCTGACTTTAAAGTTTTTAGTTTTGAAAGACACAAAAATCTCTACAACTTGTCTCGATCGCATACTTTTTGAGAAATTTCAATGAAATTAGCTAACGTATTGAATGCAATCATACCTCAGTCTCGTCAATATCTTCCCAGCTGTCTGATACAGCATTTTCTTGGTTCATTATGTTTTTATAAAACAGTAGAATTAATTAAAGTTGATTTTAAAATATTAAACTTCGCTCAAAGATGCAAAAGCATAAACAAAATGAAAGTAGACATCGTGTAGATCCCAGGTAGACATTCACAATTTTCAATGAAAATCCAAAATTCGTGTGTGAGTTTAATTTTCGTATTTACTTTTCTAATTATCTTAATTTCTCATTGTGTAAAACGAATGCTTTTCAATATAAAAATCCAAGCAACATCAAATTGAATTGTATTTTTAACTCGAAGTTGACAATCTATATTAAATAAGTTAATCTATGGAAAGCAAGAAAAAAGAAAGAAAAAAATAAGAAGGAAATTATTAAGTGGAACACAAATTAATCATGCGGCTAAAGAGGAGTTTCCAACAAACATTAAACCTACATATAATTTGTATTTTGTTACTTAAAATTGCCTCAACATTGTGTAATGAACTTGAGGTAAATTCATTGGCATTTCTTGTTTACAAATGTATAATTTTAAATTTTTATTGAATTTTGAAGCTACCATCAAAATATGTTCAAGCGGCTTCAGGACATACAAACAACTGGGCAGTGTTAGTCGACACAAGCAGATTTTGGTTCAACTATCGTCATGTAGCAAACGTTCTTTCAATTTATCGCTCAGTGAAACGCTTAGGAATTCCAGATTCTCAAATTATTCTTATGATTGCTGAAGATATGGCTTGCAACCCAAGAAATCCACGACCAGCTACTGTTTTTAATAATGCAAATCAACATATAAACGTTTATGGCGATGATGTTGAAGTTGATTATCGTGGCTATGAAGTAACTGTCGAGAACTTCGTTCGATTGCTCACTGGTCGTGTTAAAAATGGCACAGCAAGAAGTAAAAAATTGTTGACCGATCCAGGTTCAAATGTTCTCATCTATCTGACAGGTCATGGAGGTGAAGGATTCTTAAAATTTCAAGATTCAGAAGAAATAACAAATCAAGAACTTGCTGATGCCATCGAGCAAATGTGGCAAAAGCAAAGATATCATGAACTCTTTTTCATGATTGACACTTGTCAAGCTGCGTCAATGTACGAGAAATTTTATTCTCCAAATATTCTCGCAGTTGCAAGTAGTTTGGTTGGTGAAGATTCGTTGTCACATCATGTTGATCCTGCAATTGGTGTGTACATCATTGATCGCTACACTTATTATGCCCTTGAATTTCTTGAGAAAGTTGAGCCTAATAGTAAAAGAACGATGGGCGAGTTTCTCACAGTTTGTCCGAAGCGTGTTTGCATATCAACTGTCGGAATCCGACGTGATTTGTATCCAAAAGATCCTCATTCAGTTCCAATCACAAATTTCTTTGGATCAGTTCGTCCAACAGAAATAACGAGCGGAGTTGTGAACATAACATTTACAGGAATTCCAGAAGACGAAGATAGTCTAGAAATTAAACAAATAGCGAAAGGCGCAACTTATGGCGATCTTAAAATTAAATTTCATGAACAATTCCCTTCAAAATTATTTCAATAAAAGTCATCAACCAAAGATTTTTCCATAGATTAAAAATTTTATTGTTTGCTTATTCTCAACATTCCCGATTCTAATCCTAATTCTTTCAAAACTGGATTTTCAGCATCGCCAACCTTTGTAAGTTGTCGAACAATTTCCTGATTTTCCAAATTATCGTCGCATAAATTTCTAATCGCTAAAATGCTCCATTCTTTAATCAAAGGATTACGAGCATCAGCGTTTGTGCACTCAAAAATACTGAGCATAATTTCCATTTCTCGAGCTAATTCCTGATTTCTCTTATTGCGATATGATAAGTTCGCCAGCGACTTTACAAGTTTCGTTTTAAAAGCATAAGAAATTTGTTTTTCAAAGTTTCCATCAACATCGGATGTTGGCACAAGTGATTCGAGCTTTTGAATGGGACTGAAAATTGTGTCTGATTTCTTTCCAATTTTATGTAATGCTTGAAGTAAACATCCGAGATTCAGAAACAAAGCACGATCGTCTTTAAGAATTTGCAAGTAATTGTCTTGACCGGTGGCTATTGAAATAATATCAAGTAAAGTCACGATGATATCTGGATCAATTGTATCAACATAAGTTGTTACAGTCTTTAAAATGCAATCAGACTTTTTCTTAAATTCCATTGTTAAGTGTTGAAGGAAATTCTTATTGATGATCCTGAAATGAAAATTCTTAGATAAATCTTTCATAGTGTAACACCAACTGAACTTACTCATTTGATGGATCTTCAATATGGTCATGAATATAATATAGAAGAATTTTCTGTTCATCCGATTCGAGTTCTTTGTAAATTTCAAGAATATCTTCATTGCCACTGACCACATAACTCAGAATAATTTGTACAAAGTCTGGTAAAGAATTTTTTGGATTCTTGAGAAAACTGCTATAGTGTCGAAGAGAAATTTGCAAAATATACTTCAGATTTACGAGTGAAGCTTTACTGAGAATGGTGTTGTAGATGATCATTCCAGACACGGTCACGAAAGGATTATTCTCACTTCTAAAGTTATCAAGAATTATTCCACTCATTGATTCCCAGATTTTCTTCTGTGACCATTCATTTTTCACACATAAATTTGCGATCAATTGGAAACATTTCAGTTCCTGATCTTTAGAGATGCCTGGAAATTTATTACTGATGACATTTTTGAGCATTTGTAACATCAAATTTGTGTTGACAATCAAATTTTGAAATGATGGCCCTTTTGTACACATTATTTTTAAGTGTTTAATACATTCAATGATGAGTTCGTCTATTACACCTTTCTGAGTTTCATAATCGTTGTTATGGTGAATCAACATTTGTATAAAATTCTTTGATACAAATATTGTGGAATCTTCCATTTCGGCGACATCAAGTTCAGTTCTAAAAGAAAAACAGTAAATTAAATACTTTAACCAGAAATATGATTAATGCTTGATTTTGTTGACTATTACTTTGAAAACTTTTTAATTTCTTCTATAATTTTATGATAATCCATTGTCAAATGGGAAAGTATGAATTGAGAAAATTTGTTTTGATGTTAAAGCTGTGCGTTGATGGCTGAAATTTGAAACAGAAACCGTTAAAAAGTTGAAAAAAAAAAATTCACAATTCTGGTTCCAGAAACAGAAGGAAAAGACGTAAGTATCGTAATTGAGAAAAAAAATTGTCTTGAACAATAATTTTTAGCTGAAATTAAACTAACAACATTCTTATTTGAAACAATAAGTTTCACTTATTAAGTAGAATTTGAACAATTAATGTCAGAATAAGTAAAAATATTAAATATCACGTTCTTTTGTCTGTCGGAGACGTCAGTATAGCAATTTTGACACATTTTTGTCTCAATATTATTAAAAGAGATTTTTATATAATAATATTTTTTTAATACTCATTCCCTCACTTCGTCTAGATTCCCCACATGTCAACATAATTGTACGATGCAAGTTAGCACAAGGCCCATCTGAGAGAAATAAAAATATGTACAAGCGTCGTATAAAAAAAAGTTCTGAATGCTTTCCGTTTCAGTTTGTGCTTGATATTACTTTCATAAGCAGCTTTCAAGTAAAACTTCGTATAAATAGCTTCAAAAATTGGTAACTGATTAGTAAAAAAATTTTAAGTGTATAAAAATTATTAAAAGAAAATGACAAACAAATGTCGAATATTAAGACATTAATTAACGAAATCAATAATTTTTCTTTGTTCTTGACCTGATTCTGAATCAAATCATACCAAAAAAACATGCGTGATAGAATTTTTATTTAATTTGACTACACGAAATTATTAGTTCTTATCGATTTATTTAGTTCATGCAATCAGTTCAATGAATGAAAAATGTTGTTGTCAGTATGAAGGAAAATTAAATTTCTCAACTTTTTGTTTTCATTTCTAATTTTTGTTTGTTTAAAAAGCGATAATGTTAATAATTGATAACGTTTCTAAGACAACATAAAACGCTGTAACATTTAAAGTCGAATTCATACAAAGACAATTTGCTGATAGCATTTGAACTTTATAAAATTTGCTTCTGATAGTGATGAAAATAACAAGAATATCTTTTTTAAAAATAAGATCATGTTTGTTTAAAATAATCAATTATGACATTAAATTGATTATTCCGCAATCAATAAAATTAAATGTGTAAGTTACATCAATGCTCATCAGTTTTACGACCTGATAACCTTGAAAAGAAACTTCCCGTAGTGTTGAGTTTGTTTTAATGTTAATTTTTTCAGCAAATACCTAATTGCTAATATTTAAAAAAAAGTCTGAATTAAATAGAAAATTAGATATTACTGCTAAAAATGCTAAATATCTATGATTTCCATATAAAAACGTAGAACTTTGACAAATTCAATTAACACATCGCGATTTAATATTTTTTTCATTTATGTGTGAATAATAATAATAATTTTGCGATAACAAAAAGATAATGAAATGCGTAGTGCAAAATACTCTCAGTTGAGTCACTTCATTACGTTTATGTTGCAAAAATTGAAATTTTTAAGGCAAGTTATATGCACAATTTTATGATCTCTTATCTAATACTGAATGTATATTCACATCACTCCTAAGAAAGTTAAAATCGCCTTTTGTCCATTGAACAATGCGAATTATGTGTTTTGCACATCGCGATATTAAGTTACAGTGATTAATTTAATACAATCAACGGCTTTCGATTTGCGTATAATTTGGAAATATTTGAGCTATTACATACCATGACCAAGCCAACAAAGTTTGGCGTTTGAAGGTCGTTGATGATCAGTTTTATTATTTCAATTCAATTATTTAAAAAGTGATATTGTACCAAGATCTTTGTAAATATCAAAGGCGAAATTTCAGTCATTTTTCAATAGTTGAATATTCAGAAATTTAAAATTTGAAAGGTTTGAGAACTTAAATAACAATGAAAAGTCTTTGAGATTACATCAAATATTTGAACAAGAGATGAAGATGTTAAAACGGAAAAATTTAAGAAAAAAATTTCAAAAGACATTACAACCAATAAAAAGTTGCGAAATAATTTCTTTCTTTTGATTTATTCGTTTATGTTTGAGCTAAAGAAATATTTTTCGTCATAATTGTATTCTATCAATGCCTGAGACACACAACAATGTAGAGAGATATTTACCATTAGTTATTTTATTTTTTACTTTTTGTGTGGTTCTATTGTTTCTCTTCTTCGTTGTCAAAAGTGTCTAATTTTCCTCTCTCCATCGCTGCTTACCCGAATTTTGTTTTCAGTTAACGAAGAACAGTCGTAAATCGCGCACATACAAAACGTACAAGCTCTTTGTTTGCAATTTAATATTTTTCTTGTTAGTGCGTCCGACAAAGATTTTAAATTTAAATTCAAGTAATGAACGCTTAAGTTGAACAACAAAAAATTATGTTAAATTGTTAATTGATAATTGTTAAGGAAAAAAGGAAATCTTCATGATAATAAGTGATACAAAATAATATTCAAAAAATAAAAATGAATAAATTGAAGGATTGAGTTATTCTAAGCACAAACTAAAATTCAATCTCTCTTAGTGATCAATTCCAATTTCATTCGCTTTCGTAATCGAGCGTAACAAATTTTTCGAATCAACGCAATTTATAAGAGTACAATTAAATCTCGAAAGCTAACATTGCTGTAAGTTCCAAAAATTTCAAAATTTTAATATTACTTACTGCTTAAAATGAATTCAAAAAAGTTTAATTAAAATAATGCCTGAGGTTTTTAATCTTGATAAATCTTAGACATGATCTGCCATACATAACTCTTACTAAACCATCGCTAAACTTTTGCTCATTAAGGAGAACCTTCATATAACATTTGCATTGAAATTCACCAAAAAAGACTCAAAATTGAGCTGAAATTTGATTGCCTATTGCCTGACATTATACTTTGAAGGCCGCGGTTCTAAGCACAGCGTTTATTTTCCTCTGAATCATAAGAAACACGAGACAAAAAAATGAGTACTTAATCATGATATATTTCTTGCAAGACGAACGAAACAATTGTACATATGAACTGTTGCGCGTAAACCTAAAAAATATTCATGTTAATATTTATGAATTTACAACTGTGGAAGAATAATTCACTGCCAATGCCGCATACTTTAATGATGTAATGAAAAGTGTTATGAAAAATAATCAAAGCTATTGTAATTTCTGTCTCCATAAACAGACATCTAGTTAGCAATGTTAAAAGGAAGTCTCACTAAGAAATATTTGTGACGTTATTTTCAAACTTGAAGACAGATAAATATTAGTGGCAATGCATTATAAATTATAATGTTTCATTTTTTTCCTGTATTCATACTTACTGTTAGATAATTTTGTCTTATTTACTTTAACTTCTTCATATTCTTTACCGGTAAATTCTCAGTATGGTTTAGCCAACGTATTCAAGGTCATTTAATTTGAAATATTTCTCATTAAATATCACTTACGCTTGAATTTTACAACTTAAATATGTAGCATGCTTTTAGTGTTTTTACTCATTTCTTTTCAACAATGTAATTTGATTCAAACCCTGAGATGTACGTGAGAGTAATAATTAATTAAAGTGTTTATTTCGCAAGTAAGTTTTTTATTATTGTTTTGGTTTCTGATGAATTTAAATCATATTTAAGCCATGTTTTGCATTTCAAAATCTTTTTGCTAATGTTCCATAAAAATTTGAAACCTTTACGGTTGCAAAAGATCAAAAATTAATGAGATTTGTTTGATAAAGCGAAAATTAATAACCCCGAAAGTTTTAATTGACTTATGTTGTAGATAGCTAATAAAAGACTTATTTATCCTAAAATATTACACACATTAATTCAAGCTATCTTCAGCTTTGATTTTTTCTTTCTTTCATAAAGAAAAATTATCACAAAAAAGTCATAATCTCAATAATACGTCAATTAGGAAGCTGTTGCTCAAAAAAATCGAATTTTTAAGGTCAAAAATGTTAAGAAAAACATTTGAAATCGTGATGATATTTCGAGTGCATTGACTGAAATATTGCTTGATAATGTTTTAATGTTTATGAAATTTGAGACACTTCACTTCAATATTTTTGTTTTGCTTATTGTGTTGTTAGATTTGTAAATCAACGAAAGACAACAAAGAACAATGCCTGAACTGGTAGAAGTTTCACACACTCTGGAATTGGATTTTCCAAAGGATCTTGAAGAAATTGCACTTGAACAAGGTGAAGATCCCAACAAAACATGTGAATTGATGGAAGAATTAAAGAATATGATTTATGAGAAAGGAGACTGCAATCCACATAGAATGGACGATGAATTTTTAATAAAGTTCCTACGTGCTCGCTTCTGGAAAGTTGAGAGTGCTTATAAGTTGGTGAGTTGTTACTCAGTATTTAAATTGGAAACGTTTTATGTATTTTATTTATTTTAGCTTTGTAGATACACAAAGTTCCGTCAAGTTAATTTCCATTGGGTTGATAAAGTTCACCCTCTCCATCTTCAATCACTTGGAGAAGAGAACATCATGACAACAACACCATACCGTGATCAAAATGGGAGACGTATGCTTATTTATCGTTTCGGTAATTGGAAACCATCACGTACACCGGTAGATGAAATCTTTAAAGCATCTCTTATCGTCCTTGAAATCGGAATCATGGAACCACGTGCTCAAGTGCTTGGAGGTGTTGGAATTTTTGATCTCGAAAATTTGACATTAAACCACACACTTCACATGTCTCCATCTGTAGCTCAAAAAATGATTGCAATGATGGTGGTATGTTAAATTTGAAATTAATTTGCTTTTAATTTAATTAACGTTGATCTTTTTTCGACCTTCAAAAGAATTGTCTTCCATACCGCTCACATACAATTCATATTGTTAATCAAGGTTGGGTGTTTGATGTCGCTTTCGCTTTCTTTAAACCATTTCTTAATGACGCAATGCGTTCACGGCTATTCATGCATGGCACAAATTACAAATCATTACACAAACACATCAACCCAGAAAATTTACCAAAGAAATATGGAGGCAAGATGGAAGAATATTCATACAAGCCTTGGATTGAACATTGCAAGACAAATGAACGTGTGATCAAAGAGTTGGAGCTTCATGGATATTGTGTCGATGAAATTAATGAAGAATGATTTGGAAAGTGTTTTTTGAAATTCTACATCAATTTTATTCTATAATAACATATCAAACTTTATGATTGAAAAGATTTTACTTTTTGTTACCAGTTTTAATAAAGAAGAAGAAGTTAATAAAATTAAAATACATTTTAAAGCATCATTTTTATTTGAAAGTTCGATAATTATTTGAAAGATCTTTAATGTCAAGACTCAAGAGCATATAACCAATAATAAGTGTCAAATTTAGTTTGCAACATGACTGAAGCATGAAAAACTTCAATTAATAAGCACCACTTAAATTAAAACTAAGAAAGTGTAGCTGAAGAAATTTGAACTTTTCAATTCATAGAAGGTTAAACTCACATCAAAAAGTTTGAAAACCTTCAAACATTCACTCATCAAGAGCTTTATACGATTTTAAATTTGAAATCGTAGAAAGTTTGAATGAAAGTTGTTTCTTTTAAAAGCTCTAACCATCAAAACAAATTCTATTTGAAATATTTTCAAAAGCATTGATAAGATAACACTTTTAATTAAATATTGGGAATATTTCATTCACATTCTCAGTTCACTAGTAAAATGTGGTTAGTTTACATCGCACTCGTAATCTTGTTTATTTACATATTAGATCAAATATTGATCGACAAACGATTACTTGAACTCAGTGAGAAGTTTAATGGACCAAAAAGACTTCCAATCGTAGGCAATGCACTTGAATTCCTTGGCATCGGGCCCAAAGGTAGAGATAACTTTAAGGGATTACTGAAAATCAAAGTCGAAAAATTCATTCTAAGAGTATTTGTTATCTATAACTCGTAAGCTGTGATTAATGAAATGTTACTATGTGTGACTGGTCCCCTGGGCTAAATTTCTATAAATATATTATCAATATTTACATTTACAGTCGACGCGCTGTAAGCGGAAGCTCTATGAGAGCAAAAGCTCCTTACACGACCACCCCCTTCAGTTTCCGCTTATAGAGCTTCTACTGTACTTAATCTTATTAATTTCAATATTTTTATTTAAAGAATATTATGATTTTGTCAAGAAGAATCAGCTGACTTTCGGTAGGACTAAAACTCGAATTTCAAGGTTTTGGATAGGCAATCAAATTGAAATTAATGTCGACGATCCAAAGCATTTGGAGATAATTCTTACAAACAATAAGTTTCTATCGAAGAGTTCGCAATACAGTTTCTTGAATGCAAGCTTAGGCGATGGTCTTTTATTTAGCACAAATCAGAAATGGTTCACAAGACGTCGAATCATTACTCCGACATTTCATTTCAAAATTCTTGAACAATTTTTTGAAGTCTTCATCAAACATAATCAGAAATTGATGTCACAGATTGAAGAAAAGGCGGATGGAAAAATGTTTGACATTTTTCCTTTTGTGACAGCATCAGTTATGAATGCAATTTGTGGTAATTAAAATCATGAATTTTAGTAAAGTTTTTATTGCTAAAAATATTTTCAGAAACTGCAATGGGATGCGAAATGAAAGCTGAAGATTTCGAATATTTGGAAGCTGTGAAAGATCTTGGATATCACGTCTCAACGCGATTTTTAACACCATGGCAAAGAATTGACTTTTTATTTAATTTATCATCAACAAAAAGAGAGCAAGACAAATGTGCAAGAATTATGCACAAATTCACAACAAAAATTATTGAAGAACGAAGACAAAAGCTTATGGAAGAAAAAGCAGAAAGTTTGGGGAATTTAGACGATGATGATGTTGGTTTGAAGAAGAAAATGTGTTTGCTTGATGTTCTTTTACTGTCAAAGGTTGATGGAGAATCTTTGACAAATGCAGACATTCAAGAAGAAGTTGACACTTTCACATTTGCTGGACATGACACGACAACAAATGCGATCTGCTTCACACTTTATACTATCGCAAAATATCCAGGAGTTCAAGAGAAATTAAATGAAGAAATTCAACGAGTTTTTGGTGACAGGGACGTGACGTTCAAAGGGATTAACGAGATGAAGTATTTGGATTTAGTAATCAAAGAAACAATGAGACTTTATCCACCAGGTATGTATTTACATCGAACCGAGTGCAAGATTTTAAATTCATTTCTAATTTTTTATCCCCAGTTCCCATCATTTCTAGGCGTCTTCACGAAGAAGTCGATTTTGGTGACTTCATTGCTCCAGCAAACGCAAACTACAACTTAATTTTGTACACACTCTTCAAAAATCCGGAAGTATTTGAAAAACCTGAAGAATTCATCCCAGAAAGGTTCTTAAGCACTGAGAAATCGCCATACGCTTTCATTCCATTCAGCGCTGTAAGAATCATTAAAATATTTCACTCAGAAATTAACTTAATTTAAATTTCAGGGTCAACGAAATTGCATTGGACAAAAGTTTGCATTATTAAACGTCAAAAATAACTTAATTAACATCATGAGAAAGTTTGATATCATTTGGAGTGGAAAAGAGCCATCAGTGCAAATAAATTTAACTTTAAAATGTGACGGAATTTTCATCGGATTTAAACCAAAAAAATAATGAAATTTGAAAAATGAATTTTAGAATAAAATTAAAAGTATTGTGAATGAAAACTTTGGATTTTTTAATAAATTTGATTTTGAGGAAAAGAACAAAAAGTTTAAATTTATGATAAAATTCATAACAGGAAATGTCAATAACTTTAAACGAGAAATCTTGCGTTACAATTCAGAACACGAAATCACGTTTCTTAAACTTTCAATGTAAACGACGAAACTCTACGGAAAAATAAAAAAATGGTATAAAATAAGAAAATTTTGTTTTCAAAGTTATCAGTCTCATCATGACATCAATTAATTATATTCTTATTCTATTGGTCGTTGCAGTTTGCGTTGCTGTTGTTCCAGTTACTGAAGCATTTATAATTATAAACGGTCAACCATTTGCAGATGCATTAAATGGAATCGCAAGATTGTTGCAGCAATTAGGAATTCTTCCAAGGAATAACTTTAAAGATGAGGATTGAGTCATTCATTCAATATAATTAAGAAATATAAATTTGAAGTTGCCATCAATTTTATTCGAGCTTTTGCGATGTTAAAGCCAATAAAAACTTACAAAACGTGTCATTTATTCGAGAAATAAAAAATAGAAGCATAAACATTAAAAATTATTCTTTTGAAATGCAATAAATTCAACCACAAAGTTTCGTGCTTCAATACATTAATTTGTAAAACTTTCGTTTATTCCAGAAAGCTTTCACCTATAAAACATAAGTCGCACTGTTAACGTCCTAAATGTTCATCAACACTTTCCTTGTTTGATCGATCGTCAGTTACTCATTTGGCGCGCAATTAAATGAAATGTTTTTCTTCAAGCATTGTGAAATACGAGCTGACTATTGGGTCATATGGAATGTTTCATTTCACTACGCAAACGTAAGAAACGTGTTTCTATAGTCACAAACAAAGAACTTCGTAAACAAACTATTGAATTGGAATTCTTGCTTCAATTTTAAAAGCTTTAATATTTAGTGAAGTGAAAAATCAAAATTTAATTAATTTGTCATGTTGAAGAACTGCAATCGCAGTCGAATAGGAAAGGTTAAGAAGAAAGGTCCAGGATCATCTCTTATGCAAGACCTGAACTTTCTTTCTTTGAAAGAATTTTACAACAGCATTCCAGGTGCGATGAAATTTCAATGTAAACGATAAAAAGTTAATAATTTATTTTTATTTATCAATGAAGATTACAGCGACATAAATCATCTTCCAGAAAAAGAATTCTATCGCGAATTAAATAATTTAAAGAAAAAGCAACAAGAATTGACACTTTGCAAGAAGAAAGATGTTAAATGTAAGAGTGGGAAAAGCAATTCTCGTTTATCAAATCCATTGGATTATTCCATCGGACACGATGTAGAAGTTAAACGTCATTTAAATGAACGAATAAGTTTCGCAGATGATGGAAATTCAATAAGTTCATGGCAAATGGATTTTGGATCAATAAGTTGCAGAAAGCGAGAAAATCGGAATCAGTCACGGTTGTCGTCAGCAACATCACGTCCTAGAACAAGTCGAGCTGAGTCGAGATGTCAAAAGCTGCAACCGTCACGATTGTCAAACATTCAAGATGACTACGACATGTTGAATTGTTTAAAAAGTTTCAGAAGCAAATCAATCAGTCCAACACGAAGTCAAATCAATGATGCGAAATATCAAAAAGCTTTCGATCATGATAATAAATTTTATAGTGACGTCACACAAGATAAATTCCAAAGTGTTGAACATGCAACGAAACGTGATCCAATCAAAGATATTCCTATTACTTCCAGAATCCCGCTCTTCAAAGAAGTTATGGAGGATCAGAAGCATAAGTAGACCATTTCCTTCAATTTAAATATTTAAAATATGAAAATGTTTCCTTTTATTTTTAGAAACGAATTAGCAAAATTAAATTCAGCAATTACGTTAACATCAAAAGTAAAACCATTTAATTTTCACGAATCAAAGCATTCCTCAAAACGTTGTTTAAGTAGAAGCTTTTCATCTCCACATTTGAATCATTCGGATGACTCTGAAGTTGAAGATGTTTCATCCAGCAATTGTCAGTTTAAGGCGAAGCCATTTCCAAAGAATTTATTCTGTAACTTTATGCATTTTAAAATGTGGGAGGATAATTATTTTAGGTGATTTTGAATTTGAAATTCAAACATTAATCGAGAATTAAATTTCTTAAAATAAATTTTATTGTCATTCACAGAGCTTTAAATAAAAAACTTCGAGCTGAAGAGCTTTTGAAAATGTCAAAACTGCCTCCATCAATGGCAAAGCGTGAAGAAGAAAACAAAAAGAAGGAAGCTTTAGACGATTTGGATATTCCACAAACACCAACATTGACCAAAACCAATGTTGAGTTTGCATTACAAAAAAAGAAGAAATTGAGAAGAAAAGCAAGAAAAACTAAAAGTTCAAGTGGAAATGCAAGAAAAGATTTTTCCCGGTCTTATCTTTATGATACAAAACGTGATAAAGACAGATTAAGTGTCAAAGTAATCAACATAAATGTAATATAAATTTAAATAAATAATTTTCCAATTTGATTTCAAATTTAGTCTGACATGACAACAACGACGAATACCACAAAACATCGGGAAACTCCAACAGATTCTAAATCGGTAACAATCACTCCAGCTCCAATTTATCCTGTCAACAGACCCAATCTAGCAGCAACTTTAAGATTCGAATGGAGTCGAGAGAAGCTTAAACAATTTAAAGATGCCAGAGAAATGTTAATGAGAGATAAATTTAGGAAACCAAGTTGGGGAGTTAAAAAGTCTCACGCATTTCAACAACTTAATTATGAGTAAGTTGCTTCATTTCTTGTACAAATTGTAACAAAATATTAAAAGTTTGAATTTAATTCAGAACATCAAACGAAGAAGAAATCGCGATAAGACTAGCAACACGTAGAGCGGAACAAAAACTTCGACAAGAAGAACACGAGTTGAACATGGAAATGATGAAACAAAGAGTGAAAACAGCTCCACTACTACTTGAAGGTCCGTCACAACTATCACCGCGACTCGGTCACATCTACCATCACTGCGATATAGCAGATGATAGGAAAAAGATTAACAGTTTAAATCAACAAAATGTAATAAAAAGTAGCAACAAACAATCAAAAAGTCACAAAGGAAACAGGCCAGAATCAACGATTTCATCTGATAGCTCGCTAAATTAAAAGTGCACGTGAACAGATAACATTTCAATCTCATATTGAATTCGAACAAGCATCGCATTCGATTTCAATCACTTTCTCACTTAAAAATAGGACGCAAACAAAGTCCAAAGAAGTTAAAAATCTAGTTATGAAGTGACTGAGAGTAGTAGTGAGGTCGTCAATTAATATTGATAACAAAACAGATGACAGGAGACAGCTTTGTATGAACGAATTTCTGATCAACTTTGAAGAATTTCTCATGCTCGAAGTATTAATTTATTGTAATTATGTTAAGGGAACAAACATATCTGATGACTGTAAATTAGAAGAGTCAACTACCTAATTGTTAATATCACAATAAAAATATGTTCAGATTAATCTAATTTTTTTTTCATAACCTTTCTCAATATTTTCGAGTGACAATTTCAAAACTTTTCAGTTGTTTGCTTCTGTTGATGTGACGAAAAATTTCTTTCACTCAAATATGAAGCAAATGAAATAAAAGAAACGAAATGTTAATTGATTGTGCTGCGCTGACTTCATGCGAACATAAATGTTTGATTAATTTGAGCAGAAGAGGTCAACGATATGTGTTTGCTTGCTTAATAATCCCATAATTTCTCTGGCTAATATTTGCCTTTGAGAGTTTTTCGTATTGTAGCCTAACGAAACTCCAATTGAGCACGACATGATGAGTTCCAATAAACAATACAAGTCACGTTAATCGATACAGTAATCAGGTCGAAAATATCATCTTTTATGAATATATTTTTATCGAATTGAACTTAAATAGAATCATTCTTGAGACATAAAACTCAGCCAAAAATAAATATCGGAGTCACGTAATTTTGGTAGTCAAAAATATTGACTTAGATTAAAGGAAAGTTCAATAAATTTTCTTCATATTGAGAGGTCAAAAACCTTTGACTGATGAAGCGAATATTTATTTTGCATATCATTATGCAAGATATCAAACAAAAATTTTCGGTGACGCAATATTTAAACAAGAAAAAGCGCTTTCGTTTGGACTTGACGGTGAATCGTGAATATTTTCTTCTTCACTTGACTTCTCAGTTCATTTTTTATGAATGAAATTGTTTCAACGTTCAACTATCTACTGGAAAACATTGGAGAAACAAAAATAAACTAACTAGGCATGCATTATTGGAATGTTTTCACTACAGAGGCGTCGAACATTAAATTCATGAACTTAACTGAACTTTACAATTAATTAATGAGTTTCAACAATGCTCAACTTCTACTTCTCCGTCACTGAAAATATAACGAAAAACATTCTTAAAAGCAAAACAAGTTGCTTCAATGTTCACTTAAAATAATATTAAGCGATTGAAATGAAAAGTTATCTTTAGTTTCATACTTACATTCGATGAGTTAAATCGTGCCTGGAATTGATATTAAAAATTCTTTTTACATTCCTTAAAAATAATAAAGACAAACAAGGTGAATTGAAAATTATTAATGACATTAAGTGATTTGTTGGCATCAATTGAAATTTTATTCTTTAACTTGTGATCGTAACAAAATTTGATATTCCTTTAATTAACCCGAAGTTATAAAAACTTTCTTATTGGAAATATTTGAAAGACATTAGAAATGCCTGAAGTTCATACACAACAAATGTTAAATGACAACATGATAACCGAGGAAGAAAAAGCCCAGAAAATTGAAGAACTGAGAAAAACAATTGAAGGTAAATTAATTAGAATTGTGTCAATCTTATCAAGATGACAGTTAATGAAAATATTTTTATTGTGAAATTTGGTGACGACGATTTGATTGTAAGTTAACAAGAAAAAAAATCTTCGATAAGATTCATTGTTTTGGTCTTTTATGAACATTCATTTTAAATTATTGAAGTCATTGATCTTTCCATTGATTTCAAAGAGTATTTAAATATCCACAATGTTGCATAAAATATTGATAAGATTAGATATGAGTTAAACCAAACAAACAAACAAAATATTTAAATTCAGTCATTAACGTTCACTTTTGCGTACATAACTCACTCAACAAGTGCCATGTCAATTTCTAATTTACAGAATTCGATTCTAATTGCAAACGAAATTGTGCGAAACCGGTTGAGAAAAAGCAAATTGCCATGTGAGAAATGTTTGTTTCGTGAATGAGCACAAGAAAGAAAAATGCATAAATACTTAGAATGACCTTGAAATTGATTTCTACAAATTATAAATCTAATTGAACCAATTGATTCAGTGGCAAATCTGGTTTCAATGACATCCAAACTTGGTCTTCGAAGATATTAAAAAGATATTAAATTTGGTCTTTCAATTCTCATTACAAAAATCATTTTTCATCTTAAGTTTGACATGATTTTCGATTTAATTCGGTTAATTTTCTGCAACAAATAATTACTATTCAATGAATTAAGTTCAGCTGAAAAAAATGCATTTCGATTTTATAGTGCCGCGCAGTGCAATTCACTTTTGATTACTTCCACTATCGAACAACAAAAAAATTGAATTGACAAATTAATTTTTATCGTCGATTTAATAACAAAGTATCTAATAAACTTATTGATGGAAGTTTTAATTGTTGCGTATTCAATTGTTGAACTTTTTTGTGTCAAACTGCTATTTATACATTATCAATAAATGAACGTCAGAAATGGATTATGAATTTACGAAAATGATTAAAAAAGCGATTATTCACGACAAAAGTTCTATCAATTTAATTCTAAATGATACATTGATGTCTGCACTATGCACGTATTTATTTATTTCTCCCCACAATGTGATGTGGAAGTTCAAAGAACTATAATTTAAAATTTAATTTGAATATCGATTGTATTCAACGCTTCAATTTTTTTAATTAGTAAACACGAGAATGAAATTCAAGTTCGTGAGAAACATTAACCTGACACGTTGCATTTTAATTCAGATTGCATAGATAAAAATCTAAATTGGAAGCTTTCACGATTTAAAAAAGATTACGGAAATCTACCTAAAAGTTAATTTACTTTGTTGTCGAACTTTTATTTGCTAGAATTTAATTATTTTAATTATCAAATGCAAGAATAAATTTGCTTTAAAAATCACTTTCCCAACACGTTTAACATTAAGCTGAAAATTTAGATTAATTCTCATGATTTTGAAGATAAAAAAGTAAGAAATTTACGATTATCTATCATTAAAGTATTTTATTGTCGATTGTTGTTAGCTATTCGATTTTTCAATTATCGAAAACGAAATTGCTTTAATTATCTAATGCGCAGATTTCGTAATAACTTTCCTGATACTCTGAATTTTCATTCGATAAATTAAAATTTTTAATTTGATTATCCACTTTACATGTGGAAAATAAAACAATGAATTCAGTTTTGTGATTCAATTTCCTGAAATTTTACTACAAATTCTTGGAATTTAAAATTTTTGTGTTACAAAAGGAGAAATTGAAGGCTTTTAAGTATTTAAAATTAAATTTACGAGTCTTGTAAACACAATCAATGGTCCTTATCCTTCCTTAAAGCTTCCTTATATTTTGTAATTCACTTCACAAGTTATGGTAATGAAAATATCAATCTAACAGTTGACATACTAAAGCGTGCTTAGAATGATTAAATTCTGTTGATGTAAACGACGAGACTCTTTTTCAATGTCATAAATATTTTGTGTTAAAGGCTCTCAAGTATTTAATCGATTCATTTTTGTTTACCACAATAAATATTATTTTCGTTGTTTTCATTACATTTTTGTTGAACTTATACACAAATGAATTAATAATTAAATTTCAATAGCTCCAAAACAAAATAAAGTAATAGCGTAATACGTGACGAAACGAATGAAATTCATATCAATGACCGCGTTTCTGTCAAGTTATAAATATTTTCTTAAAACTCCTTCTTGATGATTCTAGATAGCAGACAATTTGTCATTATCTCTATTTCTAATTGACAATAAAAGTTCATTAATCATTGTTCACGTAGAAGGAAGAAAACGTTTCAATGTTTGAACTTGAAGTGAAGAACCAACGGCAACACTTGACGACAGGCTTAGAAAAGTTTATCGGTTTTTCAATTGCACAATGTTTTGATATGAACTTTTCAATACTAATGCAATTAAAACAATTTATTGATTTCCAGAATGTCCCTCTTTGAATATTCGGACCGACGATATTTATCTGAAAAGATTTCTTATCTGCTGTAATTGGAATGTTGCAGATGCGTTAACTCGCATTACAAAACTCTTCAAATTAAAGGTGAGTGATGCTTCTGAAATTGATTCAGTATTTTGATACATTTTCTCATTATTTTGTAGTTTGAAAATCCAAAATGGTTCTCGAATAAAAAGTTAACCGATTACAGAGATATTTTGAAGCATAACGCGAAAATTATGTTGCATGGAAGAGACAAGAAAGGTCGACGTGTCTATCTTAGCCGAATGTGTAAGTAAAAAATGAAAAAAAGTTTAAAAACCGTTGACACGTTGTTTATTCAGTGGGAGCGGGAAATTTGAATTTGATGGATCTCGCACAACTTGATGACTTGTGGATGGAAGCAATGTTGAATGAAGTTGAAACGATTGAAAATGGAATCGTTGTTCTCCTCGATATGAACGGGTAAATAAAACATTCAACTTAATGTTTTCCATGTTAATGTTTTTCATAAAATCTTGAACATTTTTATTTTAGATATTCATGGAAAATGATGAAGTGGTTGGCACCTGGCAATGTTAAAGTCGCATCTACAAAAGCTGATCTTCTTCCAGTAAAGCATATGGAAGTGCATGTTGTTAATTCATCATCACTGATGAATGCCGCAGTTTCCTTAGTCTTTCCAATCCTAAGCCAATCAATAAAAGACCAAGTTTACTTTCATTATCAGAATTTCCCATCACTTCATGAACATTTGGGACGAGAAGTTTTACCAGCTGAATATGGAGGCTTAAATGAAAATCTCAAATTCGACGAGTTAGCGAATTATCTCTTCAAACATGAAGATCATCTGAATAAATCCATAATCTATGGATATACTTCGGAGCCTACAAAAGCCATTAAAGAAAAGAAAAAAACTCATTCCAAAGGAAAGGAAAATCGTGTTATTGCTGATTCAATATAAAATCGCAGAGAAAACTTATAGCTAAATATTTTGCACGGTTCACCAAACACTGATGGGTTTACTTTATTATACAAATATTTTCCATGATCAAACATTGTGATAAATGAAAAACTGAATATTAATCTCAAAAATGTTCAAAAAAAGTTGTCAAATGAATAAATTTATACGTTAACGGGGAAATGTAATTTCTAAATGACACCAAAATGTTATTTAATTTTTTATGAATAAAATTATTGTTAACCAAAGATTTCATTCTTTTCTTGGGCTTCTTTGAAAATGTCACCTTCCCTTATCTTCAACTGACTTTGCATCTTTTACATATCTTGAGAAATTAATTTCTGTTCATAAACTCACAACTAGTGAAGCTTTGATTGTTACATAAAATATTTGGATTATGACTTGAATGATGTTACACACATCGATGTTCAAGGTTATGCCGACATCCGATGAAATCGATTATCGGATCAACACATTACTGACCGACTGAAAGAAAGTGGAAACGAAATTATTCCAAAATACTATCAACCAAATCAACGCTTTCATAACTCTTTTGCTTTTGGACAGTTTTTGGCTTAGACGATTTTCTGATGATACAATGAAAAATGAAACTCATAAATTTACTTTCTGTTTCATTTTTGTTTTCTTTTTTATTAAAATGTGTAGACGAAAATTGTTTACACCAAACGCTAACATGTGATTTCGTTTCATGTACGCTTGCGTCATGAGAGCGACACTCAATTTGTGTTCAGAGAGCACTCGTAAGCTTACCAATAAATTGATATTTATTGTTTCCATAAAAGAAGCATTTCAATTGAAATTACTCGCAAACTTATTAAATTTACTGTAAATCTTTTATTACATAATTGACTAAACAACGGTTTGCACTGTCGCGCATACTTTGCTGAGTTTCTAAAGCAAAACATTTTCGTCTGCTTCATTTTGCCAACCGAAACTGTTTAAAGTTTATTCAGCTGAGAGTTTGTTGGAGGAGCGAAAATAAGATTTTTTTATTCGCTCAGTTGTGATTGTCGTTTTAAAACATCTTGTTGTGATTTGATTGCTCCGTGGGTAAATTTTATTTAACTGTTGAAATATTTATTCAAAGTGCGTGGAAAATTTGCAGTGAAAGCTCTTAAATTTTGATAAAAATTATTAATATTCAACACTGAGAATCTTGCGAATAAAATAAAAAATGTAAAAGAACATTTTCATGGGTGTGAGATGAAAACTTCAAGGACTTTTTACTAGAAATCGATGAAGTTTTCCTAATAAAATAAGGACAAATGTTTGCATGAGGTACGAGAAAGCTTTAAAAATGTCGCTAACAATTCTTGTTTCATTTATCTAAAGTTTATTCTATGAATAAATCTCCAAAAAAAAAAGATGAAATTTATTCACGTGACAAGAGATTTTTTCCATTTCTCGGTGGCTGACAAACTTATTTTTCAAAAAGCTTTTTATCCCAAAGTAAATTTAAATTTAATCGAAAAATCCAATTTCTTTCCACGATCCCAAAATGATACCAAGGATAAAATGAAAAAGAAACCAGAAAAATTTTCCCCATTATCGATTTCTTACGCCCTAAAATTCTGCTTGTCTCTACACATTATGTAAAATTGTTCTCCAGATTGTTTACATTTTTCTGAAGTCGTTGTGCTCTCTTGATAAATAAAACAAAAGTTTATTCGTATACGTAATGAATAATTAATTTGGGGATCGTTAAAGCTCTTAGTGAAATTTTTGCATAAACAATTCTGGGACGAAACAAATTATTAAATAATTAAAGAAAAGTGAAAATATCATTAAAATCTTTGTAAATGAATTAAAAACATTTTTTATAAATAGAATCACTTTGAAACTTTTTGGTTTCTGTTTCAATTCCGTTTGATATGTGAAAGAAATTTTTATGATTTGGCCTATAAAATGTGATAATTGATGTGTATGCTTAATTATGACCATCGTGTCTCAGTAGTGTGGCGAACATTTTAATTTGCTTGCTTTATGTCAATGCTAACCAAGCAATCGCCAGATAAAAACCTTCTGAATTTGTTTATCCTTCCAATTCTTACCAACATCTGCTTAATGCTTCTCATTATTTACATGAAAAAAATTCTTTGAAAACAACAAGAACGTGGGCAAAGGTTCGTGATGAATCCCGCAAATATTTATCATTTTCCTAAATTTACCTCTTCATTACACGTGATAAATAAGAAGAAACATAGAAATATAATTTTAGATCTGTTCATGTTCGTTTGTTACTTGATATTCTGCCTTATCCGATGAGAATCTTCATTTTCTAATGTGAATCACGTTGTCGATGTCCTAAGAAAACTTGAATTGCGTCATTTTCATTTAAACACGTACAAAGTAGTTCATCGTGTTGGCTCATTTGAAATGCTAACGAGATATAAAACAAATGTCTTAATAGAAACAATTTCATGCTGCTAAAGAATATGATAATTTATCGACTTTATCATGCTTTCTTCTGTTTCTAATATTTCAAAATGAACACTTTAAATAGCAAGTGCAATGAATATAAATCATTAATACTTCAAAAATGTGAAACATGTTTTAATTATGATCTGAAACACCTTCAACTGTTGGCTTAACGCCAGACATAAATTCTAACAAATTAAAGTTGAAAGTAAAATTTTTTGATGGTCTTTTTTAATTCCCTTTTAATTTGAACTGCAATAACTACGCGCGTTGAATAAAATTATTAAATCCACTTCAATCATTTAAAATTTTTTTTTGTCTATTCTCAGAATAAGATTTGAGATGCTTGCAATTATTGAAGACTGATTCAAATCAAAGCACTTTCTTATTTTCTGTGCTATCAAATCTACTTAACATCAAATAATTCAACTCAAGTTTCAAGTTAAAAAAAGAAGAAATGAAATCAAATAAATCAAGCAAATCAAATTCACCATCGAAAAGTCCACGGCATATAATTTCGCGATCATTTTTAATCGATCCACATGCTGAATTTGAAGCGGAATTGAACAGGAATTTAGGTAACATGATAACGCATTGTCTGAAATATTAAGTGAGGGAATTATGTAACTTCAATTTCTATTTACATCACAATGCAAATTCGTAGATATGACATGGCGCGAAAAAGCAGAAAAGGAATTAAACGAAAACAATGAAGCTATAACAAAAATGAAACAGATGAGAAAGTTAATTGCTGAAAGTGATATCAGTCAGAAAGGCCGTGAAGATGAAGCATTTCTTTTAAGATTCTTGCGAGCTAAAAAGTTTGACGTTGATAAAGCATTTAAAATGATTCAAAAGTATTATTGGATGAAGGAACATTCACCAGAATTGTTTTACGTGTCACCACCATCTGATCTCAAATCAATGCTGGAAATGCAGATTCAATGCATGTTGCCACAGAAAGACAATCACGGCCGACAAGTTTATGTTTTTCGTGTTGGTATGTGACGATGAAAGATTTTGCAAATCATCCAATCCTTCTTACATTTTCCTATCATTATGTTTCCCTTTTCAGAAAAATGTGATCCGTACAAAGTGCCAGTCGAACACGTTTTCCGAAGTAATGTGCTTGCTCTTGAAGATGCAATTCGTGATCCGGAAACACAAATTGGCGGTTTGGTAGTTCTTCTTGACATGGCTGGATTAGGCTTCGCACACGCTCGTTATTTATCACCCCATTTAGCAAAGAGAACTGTTGAAGTTGTACAAGAAGCTTTTCCAATGAGATTCAAAGCTTTTCATATTCTTCACGAACCTTTTTATATGGATGCGATCCTCTCTGTGCTTAAGCCTTTCTTAAAAGATAAAATCCGACGAAGGGTGAGATTGAAATTTAAGTCATCGAGATTAATCTCATAAAAGGAATGAACTTCTTTTAGATTCACTGCCATGGAAATGATTTAAATTCACTTTACAAGCACATACCAAGAGATTGTCTACCATCAGGTGAAAAAGATTTCTTCTTTAAATTTCTTGAAAAGGTCAAACTGATTAGATTAATTCAATTTACCATCTCTAGAATATGGTGGAACACAACCACCCTTCGATAACTCAATTTGGCGCCAACGTATATTAAATAATGAGGAATACTTCATAAGATTGGAATCTTATAACGATGAGGGAATGATCAATAATAATTCTTTCGACATTTATCATCACAAGAAGAGCAGCATTAATGATGAGATTGGTGACGAAGAAATCTTCTATGAAGCTGAAGATGATGCTGACGATAATAAATCACTAGACGTTGAGATTGATGGCAACAGTATTAATTATATCGACACTGAAACTGAAGATTCCGAAGAATATGAGTCAGATCGTGTCTTGTCGCCTAAGAGAAAAGCTCCTCCCGTTGAAACATTGGAAGAGATGTTTTTAAAGCATGAATTCAGCACGTTTACTTTGGAAGAAAAAGAGTTCGATGCTGTCAAAACTTAGGATATCTTGACGTGAAAACATTCTTTTCCCATTTATCATTCATAATCTGATGTACCTAATCTTATCATAGGCTACTGATCTTCATATATTTTTCTAGGTGAAAGATTCAAAGTATTTTTCTAGATTTATCTTACATGTATGCGCATTACCCTCGAGTTTTTTTAAATAAGTAATGAGGTGATTTCTGGTGGTGATTGATGGCTTATGAATATTTTTTTTTATGTTCGAATTATTTCTACTTATTGTGATTGATTATCGCATGACTGTCTGCAGCTTTTTAATCTTTAGAATAACATAAATATAAAATTCACTTAACAGTGAGTTTATAATCTTGTTTCAGAAATTAATTAATATGTTAAAAGTTTATAACAAAACACTTTATTGGAAATTTTGCACTCACCTCTTTAGTCTTAACATACAATGAATGTTTTTTGTTCTACTTGTTCACAAACAATTGTTCAATGTTGTGTATTAACAAGAGAACAGCATGAAAAGTCTGATTGATTTTAAAGAAATCGAGAATTAAAAATGGAATAAATCTAGTAACGATGAAGAAAATAAATAAAGAAATCAAAAAATACTTAACAAAATTTATGTTTTCTGCTTTTTCATGAAAATTCTTAATAATTTCTTGGATTAAAATATGTCAGCAAAGCCATACTGCATTTCGTAGTTTTTTCAAATTGAAATGGCATATGAAAGATAATAAATTAGGAAAATATTTAAACTAGGTATAAGAGAACTCCCGATGTGTTACTTTTGACATTTAGTAATTGAACTGCCTGGAGGCCTTTGAAGTTTAATTATAGAAATATCTGCGAGATTAAACTTCCACATATTGTCTAGACGATTCATGACATTTAAACGGGGTATTTATGCTTATTAGAATAAAGGTAGCTCAATCATAATTTTCATGAATATAAATGAATATCAAGTGTTTCAAATGAGATCCCTGATTTCAATATTTCTCATTTCGAAATCAACATATTGTTTACAAAGCTACACCTTTGAGAAAATATTTGCAAAGGCAATGAAACTTTCGAACCCTTTAAAGACTTTTCGGGAAATGTTTACGTGTTGTCAAGAAGTAAACACATTTCTACTTAAATGTCAATAAATAAATGAGAAATCATTTTGGAAAACGTTCACTCGACTACATCCCTTCATTAATCGAGTTGTTTTTCTGAAAAGCTAACATGAGGGAAGATTAATTAACCCAAATATCATTTAAATTAAGTGTCATGGCTCATGAAAAGCCCAAATTCATTTAATATGATTTCTGAGTTTTCCAACATGTTTATTTGACAAAACGCCCTTGAATTTGATTAATTTTTAAATAATTTTCTGGCATTAAAATGAAATTGAATGCATGATAATAAGACCGGACATAAATATTTTATCAAGCGAAAACTCAACACCAAATAAATTTTGTTATTCTGAAATCGTAAGAAAAGAAAATCCTCATCATTCCTTCTAATTTCTTTCTTAAAAAGTATTCAAGCAGACGAGGATATAAGTAATTGTGTTTCGTGATGCCTGCTTTGTAATGTGAAACATGAGATCCTTTTCTGGTATTAATATTTTAAGAACAGAGATATTGTATTAGGGATGTCGTTTCAAGAAAATTCATTTGGATAACAGGTGGAATTTAGAGTCTCGATCGTTTAAACGACTAAAATCTGTTGAAAATTTTAAGGTTGGTCTTTTTGTGCACATCATCAAAACGTGCTTAGAATCGTTGAGCTTTACAATTTTCCTGACTTTAATTCCGTTTTCACGTAGAACGGTTAAATCTGGTTTCACTCGTCTGAAACGAGTAAAGTTTGAAGTACATCTTGACATGTCTGAAATTGAGCAACAATTTCAAAAGTTGAAATAAAATTCAAGAAAAGAAATCTTGGTAACTGTTTGAATTTCTTTTTTGAGAAAATCTGTCTTTTATGTTACATCCTTCGAAATATTTTTGTGATGTTTTAAACATTTCAAACGAAGCTTTAACAAGATAAACATTAATCTCAATAAACCTCTTGAGCTTTTCCCAATCTTCTTATACATAATCAATGATTCTCATAACAAGGTCTAGTCACCCTCTTTAATCATCCCTCTTGATAATGTTGGCGATTAATTTCCATTTCGCATGAAATTTATACAAATTTCATCTCATTAGACTATAAATTAAATTTACTCTTCATTAATAGCGTGCAGGAAATGTGCAAGTGTCAAGTGACGATCCTAATCATCCTATGTAACAAATTCTCTCAGTCGTCACTTTGTTTAGGCAAAAAATTACCGCACGATAAGGCTATAATTTTTCAAGGTGATTTTTTTTGTCAACTCTCAGTAGCAAATAGATTTTGTAAATATTATCGTAAGTGATTCACTTCATTTTCCAATGAGAGAAGCCTTCCGATAACTGAGCTTTCATCTCCTTTCTTCATCATTTTCACTCATTTTTGTGCTTTTCCTCTCATTCTTCTCACGAGAGAAAATTTTTCCTACTTTTCAATGCTTTTTTCAGGATATTTTCCAAACATGATTTTCTTTTCGCATTAGTTCGTGAGTGAATACCGGGCTTTGAGGACGGAAAATCGAGAAGACATAAAGTGGAACAAGCGCACAAAGCGCCATGTTTGACCTAGTGTAAAAATCTATAAAATAGCACTTTAAACTACTTTAAATTGGCATAAAAATTAGGTGACGGTGTAGTGTGACATGTAAATAATCTGATAATCATTTTGAGTGAAAAAGAATAACCCTCAAAGCACTAATAAAGCAGAGAAAAGTTTATCATTTCACTCTCAAAGTGCTTTAACAAATACAGAGTAGAAGACAAAAATATTTTTTTCAGCCAACAGCAAAGTTTCTTCTTGATTGTGCTTTCTTCTCATTGAAGCTTTATGTGGATGTAAATATTTTAGGAAGCACAAATAATTTTTCGTTTTCCTTTTTGTGAGCGCATGAATGAAAACGGAAGAAAAAGATGAAAAAGTAAGCGAATTGGAGAATCGTTAATAGCGTAAACACAATCTTAATAACCCTCTCGTTTAATGGATTTTTCAATGTGTTGTTGATGTTACAATAAGAGCAATTGACTTGGATTGAAGGCAATTGCAGAAAAGTGTTAGCATAGTACAAGCTTTTTGATATCGTGATGAAATAAATTGTGGTTTAATGCAAAACAGCATGAAGCATGTTTTTCTTTCACTCGGACTATTGAATTTGATTTTCATGCTTATGTACATTAAATTCAGGAACTTATATTGGGAACTTTACAAGAAGAACAAAAGAAATCGTTTTGCCTTTGTTTCCAAACAATGGTTCTATGTACATACGTAGCCTTTAGCTGTTATTTGAATTCGGAATGTTTCTAAGGAAGGCACGCACAAGAAACAATAACATAAACGACAACATGATGTGTCTTTTTATTTTGTGATTTTGTCATAAAACGACAAGGAATATTCACAAAATTCTAAAATATTCTCTTCTAAAAATATCAGACGACAAGCTTGGCGAAAGGCTTCTCAATATCAGTGTTAATGTATTCATGTTTATTAAAATTCCTAACATTACCATTGACAATTTCTCTCAAAAAACTTTTCTTAACTACAGTAAACATTTGCTTTTCTGCTCGACCGAAAAATTTCTTTCAACTCAAACAACAAACGAAGAAAAATTTGCAAGCGAAACGTAACTTTCCCTTCGAAATTAGTTTTTGAGAACATTTGTTTTAAACTTCTTACCCCAAAAAACAGATGACATTGAGTTTTCTAACGCCACGATTTGTCTCATTTTGAATTCCATTAACATTTTGAATAAACGTTTTTCATTTATTCACGGTCATGAATAGGAAAAGAAAAATCAATTTTTTGCTAGCATAATCCTTAAAAAGAGAAGCAAGAAAAACTCTCACTTTTTATGTTCATGAAACTTTAACAATTTTATGTATTTCAAGATGAATCTGGCAAGAAGCCAGAGTAACATTAGCTTTGACTTTCATTCCTCAAGCATAAATCTTCTTTTTTCAAATTTTCCCAATAATCTAGTTGTTGACGTTTTCCAGCCTTTCGATTCACCTTTCAATGCCAAAATAACCATCAACTAGGATGTTCCATTCAAAATTAAATATTGATGTTTCAAAGGTGAAATGAATAAAACATTTAAACGGATTTGAACTTTCTTACTATTTCAATGAACCAATGGAAAGCTGAAGTTAAAAAAGGCTTCTCTAAATTCTACTATTAAGGTTTCAAAATGTCTTCGGTTTCGACGAGGGTTTCGATTTTAGTATATTAAATCATGAATTATTTATTTCACTAGATTTATTTATGTAACTGTGCATTAGACTTTTGGAAAAAAAAACTTTTGGTGAACATAATGAATAGAAAAAGATTAAAATCTAAAATAATTGAACATAAAGGAACTTCTGTTAGGAAAGTAATAAAATGATTAAAAATAAATTAAATTAAATGTTGAAACTTTATCGTCATTTTCCCTTTTCTTGCTTATCTTAATAAAATTAAGCCTGCAAAGCTCATGTTCAATATTGTCGGATACATTTTGGAAGTTTATGTTAATCATTTCTTTTATGTTTCACAATGGGTATGAATATCCGACATTACACGCATCTCATTGTTAGGGCGATTGTGTCATTTCATTAAGCTTTTAAAATTGTCATTCTCTTTACATAAAATTTCATTCGACTGACTGTTTTATGTTGTTATTGATTATCCTTTCAGAATAAATTAATTGAACAAATGTGAATACGAAAAAAAGTGATACGAGGAGATAATGCCATTTGATACTGAAAAGAGAAATTGAATTTCCTTCCCCTCCTCTGAATTGATAGAAAATAAAATCTCATTAGAGAAAAAAAAGGAGAATCCAACCAAAGTGATAAAAAGGAAATTTGAAGTTCAGGATGACTGAAAAGAACTCAGAACGGAACACGCCCAAAAGAAACTCTTCAAGCGTAGCTGGACTGATATCTGGCCAAGCTACGTCACTACCAGCTGATGTACTTGAAACACTCTACAGAAGTTATTCACTGAAGCAAAAGCGTTCGGGTCTGACATGCTTTATAGCTGCTTCCATTGTGTTTGACTTATGGGCGATCCTAGTGCCGCAAGGACAAAGCGTAGAAAGTTTAGGTGAGATGATTTCATACGTGTTTTTTATAAATATCTGCTTCCAAGTTCCATTCCGATCTCATATCAATTAACCTAAAGAAAAATATATGAGTGAAGTAAAGGAAACCCTGCTTTTATATTTCCATTACGCCCTTCAGAAGGCAGTAATCAGCCTTACGAGAAATACTTTTACACCTGCTTTTTCTAGCTTTGGGACGCAGAGAAAATATTTTATAAGACTGCTTGATTTACTATTCAAACAACGTACACATAAATGAAAACATAAGCAAAGAAAGAAACTATTTTTGTTTCAATTCTGTAGCGTTGGGTCTCTGATGTGCTATAAAGATTTACCCCAATTTACACCAGAAGTAGACATTAATTCACAATGAAGTGAAGCTTATTTTCAGTCTCTATGGTAAACCTATGTACATGAATATGAAAAAAATAATGTAAAGTAAATAATCATGAGAAAAAATGTAAACATCCACAATCAGATTTGGTTTTGAATCTTTTAATTTTAATTTAATTTCTTAATTTTGGTAAAAGTATTCCTAATCTCTTGGTGAGATGAAAACATTTTATAATCTTTAAATGTTTTTTCCAAGAACATTTATACATGTGGGAATACAAATATATTTATTAGAAGGAGTTTGCGAGAAATGGCAATAAAAATCGTTTCCATGAAAATCCTCCAAAAATAAAACATAAAAGAAATCTTAAAAGTGAAGTTCCTTTTCTTTACCGAGCAAATAAACATTCGCGAATGTTGAGGATGACTCTTGTTAGGCGGAGAAGTATGAAGGAGGATGAAAATCGAGTTCTGTTTTCTCATAAGGCAATTTTGATGAAAATATTCCTAAAGATAAAGCTTGGCAGATAGAGAGAGAGAGAAAACACATAAATAATTTATGTTTCTATGTGTTTCATTTCTGTCATATTTTCATATCTTCAAAACGAGAAGTAAATTTCAATGAACATGTTACAGTGGCAGATAATGATAGAATTTCCGTGAGTTTAACAATGAATCATATCAAAATGTCACTCATGCTTTAATCATGAACAACCTTTTGCCCTTCAATCTCTGACTTCAGCACATCAATCCACAACAAGTCGGAAAAGTAATAATCAAGATGAAATTCATGATGAAAGGATTTTGTTGTTCAAATCAAAAAGTAAATTGTAACTGATGGTTTATTAAACGCTGTCGCCAAGGAAAAATGTAACAAAGAAATTCAATTGTTGTCATATACCTACATAAATAGGTCGGCATATGTTTTCAATTTGAAACTTCTTAAAAATTTTGTTCTTAAAAGGCTTCTGATGTGCTTGTAAAAAATGTTTGAACTTCTGTGAAGAAAGGATTAAGAAAATTAAAAACAGATTCACTCAAATTACAAATTTTTAATGAGGTTTATAGATGAAATGACTTTTGAATGATCTTTAAGAAAGGGAACAAAAAATTGTTAAACATTGAAAGGAATTCGAATCTTTTTATGTAAACAAATATCTTAAAATCCAATTTATTAATAAATATCGAATTTATTTGGATATTGTTCAAATGCAAAAGTCTTAAAACTTTTCTTTTTTCCCGTCTTGTCTCTACAGGTGTAACTTGTGTATTTTTATTGCTTAACATCAGTCTGGCTGTATTTCTCAAATTCTGTGGAAAATCTCGATTTCGGGGCGCTGTTTGGGAAGTTTCTCCATTGCTGTCATGGATTTTTGCAATCACGCAATTGATTGTTCAATTATTTCTCAAAGGAGCTGTAACACCAAGGTAAGAAAGTTTAGTTTAATTTATCGCATATAAACATAAAGGTCTGAATTAGACGATGAATTAGCAAGTGAGAAAAAAGAAATCAGATAGACAAAACTGTTCACAAAATGTTTTCTTGTCTCGCAATCTGACGAGTGAAGAAAATTTAGCAAATCAGAGCGCACGATAATTAATCTAGTTTTTATTGATTACCAGGAAAAAATAAGAAAGAAAGATAAAACTTAGTGTAATAAATTTTCCAAGCGAAATTTCATGTTGTTGAAGCTCATTAAATTCCCTTCGAGGTACGAAGAGCTAAAAAAGGAAACGTTTCTTCACTAATGATCTAAGGATGAGAGGAAAACGTTCGTTGTTAAAGTAATTGCCACGAATGGTGAGTGGAGGAAAGTAAAACCAAAAATAAAATAACGATAGAAATTGTTTTCATTTCTTAAGTAGGAAATTGTTTTAATTGATTTCTCTTTTACAATGGAATGAGAACAAAAGTTTGAAATTCAAAATTCCTTTCACCAACAAATTGAGTCGTCTTGAAGTCAAATGGTGGAACTTAATATGAAGGAATACGAAAATCAATTTCCCTTAAATAATTATTCCGCAAACTAAAATTCCTGAATAATTTATTCAGCTTTTTCCTCCAGTAGCTTTTTTCTTCGCTTCCGAAATTTCACGTTCAGCTTTTGCTTCATTTTCCATTTCAATAACTCGAGCTTTTAATCGTCCAAGCGGCGTCTTCGACCACCTAAAACATTTATCATGAATTAATCAACGTGCTGATAATCAAGAAATAAAAAAATTTATATCAATACCAAGTCAGAAAAGCTTCCTCTTCTTCACGATAAATTGGCTCCTTTGTACTATCATCATGTAGCAAGCGATAAATATTTATCAAATAATGAAAGAAAACGAAAATCAATATTTCATTCTTATTGCGTCTTTTCGTTCGAACTTCCAAGCGAAGGAAGAAAATAAAAGCCTTAACGATAATCATACCTGAGCGCGTTTATAAGCTCAACATGAGTAAGAGGTTTCACTCGAAGTTGCAGCATCCGTTTGCACGTGATAACATCTTGAATACAGCTCACGACCGAGCCAATAGTGTAGCCATCCGATACCTTTGCCATTGCACCCGAGTCAAATGTTTTAGAAACGCCACTGTATTGACTTTAACATTAAAAGTAAAAAAATAAAAGTAAAAGGTGAAATTTATTAGCTTAAAGTTTTTAGATCTTCATGAAAGATGCTTGTTTTTATTACGCCAATAATTCACGCCAAGCAAACGAAAGCGAACCATAATCTGGTCGGGGAATATAGATGAAACGATTATAGGTTTGCTGCAATAGCTTTTGATCGGCATCCTATGAAGTGAATAAAAAGAAGAGAAGAAAAATTCAATTAACGTTAACGGATTTACGACTTGTGATTTCTACAAACCCATGGAGCATTCGAGACTCCTATCAGAATCACACGATCCTCTGGAGCAATATTCTTGACAATCTTTTGTAAGTCTTTTTTCAATCTCTTCGGATCCGTTCTATCAGTTTTCGGAATTTTTTTCATGAAAGGCTTTTCAGCATCTTCGAAATAAAGAACTGCTGGTTGAAGTAAACGTGATACTTTTTGAACTAAATGCATTAGCATAATCAGTCCAGTTTTTCCCGGATACTTTCCAACAAGATTAGCAGGGCTTAAGTCAAACATTATAGCTCCGGTTTCCGTCGCTACTGCTTGGACGAGTGAACGTTTGCCGGTACCTTTTGGACCTTTTTTCCAAATATCCCAAGATAAACATTCAATTTAACTTCAATTATTTTTTCTCTCAAATTCATACCCACCAACAATTAAAACTGATTTGATGCATGGAGCGTAATTTCTGATCATCTGACTGCCTAGTGGAAGGATACAATATTCCTTAATAACCTGTCGAATATCTCCAAGAGCTGGATTCATGGGCGATCGAGCTGAATATGCACGGTCCCCAAGATATTGTTTCATGTAAATTTCAGGATATTTCACAAGTATCCCATTCACCACAAGTTCTTCGAAAAGCGATTCTGTTGTTCGGTCGGGCGTTAAATCTTTTTCCTTTTTCTTCTTGCTTTTTTTACCTGTTCGTCTTGCTTTTTTGCCACCTTTTTTGACTTTCTTTCCTTTTGCTGCTCGATCCTTATCCAATGCTATCTAAGTAAGTAAGTGCGTATGAAGAAAATCGTTTCAGTTTAAATTGAATAAAATGTCAGAAGTACACAACAATTGAATGTAAATGGGATTCAATTGTTTTTTTTCTTCGAAGAAGTTCATTAGACAATTCTTCGAGGAACAAACAAGTACTTAGAGAAGTTGACGAAAATTATTCATAAGCAATCCAATAATTTTCATAGCTTAACTTCTCATTTTCAGACGGATATAATGCTGTAAAGCTTTTAGCTAAAAATAACGTAGCTCAAAATTGATATCCACTTGAGATCCACTTAAAGCATTTTGAGAAAATAAAATACAATTTGTGGAGAACCTGCAATAAATCCAGCTCATTTCGCATCATTTCGTCCACGATTTTCCGCAATTCCATCTCGACTTCTCTGTATTTTTCAGCATAAATCATGTCCTCGTAATGCAATTGCTTTAAGTTACTCGACTCGTCTTTAGTTCTCCATATTTCGTTATATCTTTGAGAAGGAAAAAAGAGCGATTAGAAAGCAAACGAAGCATGAGCGAGATGAAAAATTGTACTCATCAATTCCAGTCTTTATTTCCGGCAAGAACGATGATTCATCAGGTTTGAATCCCTTTTTGAAGTTATCGTCCATGACAAGCTCGTCGCCCTTGCCCTTCTCTTTGCCTTTTTCTTTCACAGTTTTTTTCGACTCTTTTGATGACGGCGCAGACGATCTGCTGAATTCACTCTCGGTGCCTGTCGAAGATAGTTTCATTTTTATATAAAACATCATTTTTCATTTCGCAAACATTCAATTACCCTGCCTTGAAAGTAAATGTCTTGAACCACCCGCATCTTCAGATGGATACTCGGGAAGTTTTCCTGTTTTCGCAAAGTAATCTCTAAACCAATTACGAATTTCGTCTGCCATGTCTTCGGACATTGATGCGCCCTGTTTGCTTTTTATTTCCACTTCAAATCTTTTTAATGATTCTAGGTACAACTGATAGTATTCAGACTGTTTCCTATAGCGTTGCTTACGTAGCAATTCGACGCTTTCTTGAAGTTTCGTATCTTGTTTCGGGTCTGGCAACATTCCAATGAGAATCATTTCTTCCAACTTCTTCTTACGTGTCTGCAACCTTGAAGCAAACCCTCGCCACATTTTTTGTATTTTCATTGCAGCCAAAAAGCCGGTCTCAGCTTTTCCTCGCTCGGGTTTTCCCTTTTCTTTCAGAGATCGAATTTCTTTCATAAATTGTGCCCGCAACCTCCCCTGACGTGCACGCTCGTGCATTTGAATGATGCGAATTGCTTCAAGCTCAGTCAAACGCTCGATTGGGACATCTTCTTCAATCACTCCAATTCGTTTCAAAATGTCATCCATTGTTTTATTGCGAAGTGCCAATTCATGTTCACGTTCGCGTTGAAAATATTTCGGAATTTCTATTTCCAAATCAAATGGTGTCAGCTTAAGTTTCATCATTATTTCATCATTATAATTAAATTCCGATAAGTCAATTTTAACTAGATCTTGTTTCAATTCACAAACCCGCCCGAGACAGGCATCAAGTATTTTTTTAACAAGCACACGCTTTTGAGGCTGCAACATTTGATCATAAATCTCATTTAATTTGTTTCCAATTATGACGTATTTCGCATAAAGCTCAAATATACGCATTTGAATTAAATGTTTATCAAATTGAGGTTCTGTAGCTTGATACTCGAAATCATGCGTGGCAAGTTTTTCCAATTCATTTTGCGTACTTTTCCACAGATTATTGTAAGTTGAATTTGACATGATTAATTTTGTCTGTTCACTTTCCTCGATACTTTCACTCGAATGGACACCAATTAACTGTAGATTAATGCTGTATTAACAACAACAAATTGTGTATGTTTGTCTTTGAACAATCGCTTCAACTGAAAATAAACTTGGTTCTGTCATTACTTGTTTTCGTCATGTCAACAACAATAATCCTCTTTGCCATTCATGGTTGCGTGTAAGTGAAGGAAATCCATAGAAACGTTAGTTGTATGACCATTGATAAAACAAACATCAAGTGCATGTTGTGTTTTCTATTATTGCGTTATGCAAGATACGAGATAAAGAGAATAATGGAAAGTGCAAGGGAGGTTTTGTGATTAACAACGCATTCATTTAATGTTCCAATGTTGATGACATTTGAATGAAAATGCTGCAATAAAATTCTGGTAAATCTTTTTTGTTTATTGTTTTAAACAGTTGAAACTTTTGTTGAAAGTTTTATCAAGTTATGAACTTTCATTCTATTTTTAACTCTTTAAATCTGCTCACCAAAACGTTCGAGGAAATATTTATTAAATAACACAATATTTGGAATAGAGTAGAAGTTGCTAATTCCGGCTGGTTTTAATACCGTTTTTTTCGGTATCTTAAAACCGTCTTTGGATTTTTCATGTGAAAATAAGAAAATGTTTTCAACTTTTATCTTTACATCTAGGCTTTAAATTTAGTATAAAGCCTAGATGTAAAGCTAAAAGTTGAAAACATTTTCTTATTTTCACATGAAAAATCCAAAGACGGTTTTAAGATACCGAAAAAAACGGTATTAAAACCAGCCGGAATTAGCAACTTCTACTCTACTTCCAACACGAAATTCTTATAATAATAAAATTTTATTATAACAATGACATAATCAAGTCTAAAGATTTGAAAGACATTTTTCACTCAAAAGTTGATTAAATTTACTTCATGCATAACAAAATCCTTTTTTTTCCCTTTGCAATCAACAGAGAAAGGGGAAATTCAATCAATGGAAGTTTTCTTTTTCTTATCCTGAAGTGACAATTTTTTATGTGCTTTCTATCAGAGCTTGACAATTGACAATGTCGACATATCGATGTTGCGTTTTCAATGTGAGAACTTTGATAATCCATAGTGAGATTTTTACACGTGATTTGCTTCCAAATTTATGTTGTTACCTCTGTACGTTCATTTAAGGGATTCAAGTTCACTTCAAAGCTTTTGCCCTTCTTGAAGAATCCTATAAAGTTTTTTGTTTAATTTGACATGACAGGCCATAAAATGATATTTTATTTTTCTCTCGGATTTCAACCTTTTTATGCGATATTTTTTCTCACCTTTTCTAAGCTCACTTCCTCTCAAGAAAATAAAGAACACCCTCTAAGAAACTTGTCTTTATAATTTACAAGATGAAATCATAAAAGCGAAAGATGAAAATTTTTTAAGAAGGAAAATATTTCCACATAAATTTAAAATATTTCGGTTCTCGTCTTTCCTGTTCTAAGGATATTCTAATTATGTTGAAGGAAAAGAATGAGTGACTCGCCCTTCTTATGCTGAATGAAATTAATAACATTTTTCTATTTGCTTATAATATATTTCCAGAGATTTTCTGGGATGGGCAGTGCTATTAAACTTCCTCGTTTACATCACAATTCCTGTTGTTCTCCAATACACAGGAATTCTTTTGGGAGTTGGATCGTTTGCCATATACATAAATACTATCATAGGATTAGCTTACAAGGAAAACTATTTTTGGGAGCAGGTAAGATCATTTATTCAAATCGGAAAATTTTCATCTCTTTTGAGACTTTTCTTTTCTTTCTATTTTCGACTTGATTGGGTATTCAGGGATCCCTTGAATGCATAAAATATTGCTGGTTAACTTTTCATGTTCATGTCTTCCTTTTATTTTCCTTTCGTTCACTGTGGAAACCTTTTCATGGAAAAAGAAAAAGAAAAATACGCCAAATTTGATTTCATTACGAAGTGGTTAAGTTTTAAATTTGTTTTATCGACCCATCAAATGTTTTTTCAATGAATGTCAAAACGGAAAGCTTAAAGCTAAGCGCAGTGCTTTCAAAGGGATTTCTGTTGTTTTTCTAAACTTTAGATTCTTAATATCTACCTTAACCCTTTTGGTTTTCGAGAATACTTTTAAGGGTTTCTCTTCAACAGAAAGTTTTGCTTCCAACAAAATTTTGAATCTTTGTATGTTACTTCAAGGCATTTCAAAAACAATAAACTTGATGAAAATTTAACTTTACTGCTCAACAGTGATTTCAAATAAGTTCCTTCGTCATAAATCGTTGCTCTGCACTGCTTACTTCGTTGACAAATTTAAAATTCATTGGAGAGATTAAATATTTCAATAACATCGTTTAGTAAAACCAACTGCATGTTGAATATGCTTAACAGCTTCTCCAATAAGTACACATTCGCACATGATGTTATGATATCATCCACTTGAAAATAATAGCTGTTGAAACTCATCAAATTTTCATTAGCTCTTAGCGACGAAGAGCAGAGAGTGTTTCGATATAGTTAATCAAAACTGTCAGAAGTCGTTTCGCAGCGCCAAAATAATTTGAAAAATTCACGTTCAACTGATGAAATTATCCTTTAAAAACATGAAAACAACGCGAAGCTCATTCATTCCATAACTGCTTATTGAAACTTGTTGTATTCTCTGAAGAATGCTTAAAGGTATAAAAGGTGAAACGATGTACCATTGTTACGACTTTACCGCTCAGTATCATTGTTTATTTATGGAAATTCCGACTGTTTATTTCCGTCAAACATATTGTGAAAAGTTATTCAGCGAGATGATTCTGATTAATTTGGATTCTTGTTAGCTTTTCTTGAATTTTGATACCTTAAAATGTTTATAGAGTGAAATATTGAATAATGAGAGTTAAAGAATTTTACAGATTTTTTTGGGATAAGCCCACTGCCAAACGTAGTATCGATTAAGTAGGAAAATCTTTCCCACATTTGTTGGCAATCTCAATTGCATGTTTTTCCTTATATGAAAGTATGAAAATCTCGAAAAGTATCATTTCCACTTATTTATATAAACTTATGCCTCGAGCAAAAAACTTTTTTCACGTTTACATGATATGATGATGTATAAAAACGAAAATATCTGACAATTCTATTGTATTTGTTATGTGAACCAAGAGGGAAATTATTTTTAATGATGGGATGGAAATCAGACTTCATTGTAAGGCTTCTCCAATTACAACCTTCTATGGAGTTTCGATGAGAATGAAGCTGTCGTTTGCATGTACAATATAACTTGCTATTGTCACGTTAAATTTTATACCAATCGTGACATTAACAATAAATTTATATTTATCCTCGATGCTTTTTCATGTTTACTAGCCATTTAACTATGCAAGGTAAAGTTTCTTTCTAAAAGTGAACAAGATTGACAAGTTTCTTATTTTTATTCAATACTTCATGTGATGTTATTACGGTCTTCATTGAGGTCTAATTAGAACTTTCCTTTAAAATTCAACATGTAGCAATGATTCATAATGATATTCCTGATATGACAGATAAGCAACCACTTCCAATACAATTTGAATAGCATTTGGACTTCCTTCGCCCATTCTTGCTGAAATCCTGATTAAGATTTTATTAAAAAGTTAGATATTTTTTGAAAGTCGCTTTCAAACAACATTTGAGATATTAAAACATCCTGAAATTTGATAACTCGTGATCCTAAATGTAAATATGAAAATTTTCTTTTCCTTGAAATTTACAGAATGAAGCTCACTAAGTTAAATCTTGTTTAAATATATTTTCCTATGCAATCCACATCATATTTATGTATTATGATTGGAGAATTCTTCTCAAATCCCTAATTCTTCCTAAATATCCCAACAACATTTTCATGCTAAAAACTTTTTTCAAGCTTCACTTAGTTCATCGATTTTTCTCCATCTCCAAAATTAAACAAAATCTCTTAAAGCTGAAAATATTTTCCGTCGTTCGATTTCCCTTAACAAATCGGTTTAGTGCTGTTTTTTCTTTTGATTTGAATATTATGAAATTGACGTCGTTCATTTCGAATATTTCATGTTTTTTCAATTGGATTTTATGTTCATTTTAATTGAAGAAGATTTAAAATCATTTGAAAATGTTCAGATCAATAATAAATTTCTATTTTCCAACAACATTATGTTTCTTTCCCAACTAACGCTAAAGGACACTTTCAGTGACAATTTCTATGACCTAATTTCTTAATCATCGCCACCTAAGCCTCCTTCATCAACCCTTTCACGGTGATGAAGTGAGCAAACAGCCCTTTGTATCGTTTACTTTCACATTTCCTACTGATTTTGTCATGTTAACTAACAATGACGACAAACGAATAATAAAATTATGTCGAACAATTTTATGTGTTGAATTTAAGCTCTTTTGCGTTAAAAATTCAATAAAAACAAAATTCAGTGCCTGCCTAGTGCGTTGCGCTGTTACTGCCTGAAGCAAAATAAAAATGGGAAATAAATATCATTAAATTACAACCGCAATTATGATGAGAGTGAATGTATGCATAATAAAGTAAAGAAATTTTTATTATGAAATCTCGTGTCGTTTATTACTCGGAGATGGAGAAAAGTTCTAAAATGATTGAACGAAAATTGAGTGAAGCCCTAATTTTAATTTTACATTCTACTGAATATTTTCCAATAGGTAACATAAATTTATCGATGGAAATTGGAAATTGGCAATAAATTAATGTTTCTATGTATGAAACGTTTGAAGAGTTTCATCAACAGGGTGAAATTTCTATTTTTATCCTCGATAATATTTAATTTAAATCGAATGGAAGTTAATGCATATTTCACTGTTTCCTAAATATTTTATAATTTCATTTTCACTTGAGATTACTTGGGAAGAGAGATGAGGGAAAATTGAAGCAAATAACAAAGATTGAATACTTTATCATCAACTAACTTTTATTTCGTCATTTCTTTTTATTTTCTTTTGAAGCAAATTGCAAATATTATTTTGATTCTGACAGCAGCTCTCATTGGACTTTTGTGTTACATCTTGGGAGAAGGCAAACAGCGAAGGGCGTTTGTAGAAGCGAAACAAAGCTTAGAAGTTAAAACACTGATTGAAGAGCAGTCTACTGAGCAGGTAAAATTTAATTAAATCAGTATTATAACAAGATAAGAAATGATAAAGTTGCTGTTTATCTTTACAACTCAATTGTAAGTTTTTCTTTTATAAAAAGAACTCTAAAAGTGAAGCGTGAAAATTTTATAGAAATGTTTAAAAGCTTCTTGATATCAATAGCAATGTAATGAAAAACTTTTTAATCTGTTTTGAAAGGAGACTTATTGAATTTTTTTCTAAAGATAAGAACTTCTTATTCGAAAAGTTTTCTCTAAGAAGCGTTAATTCCTCCAATTTAGATTGAAAGATTTAGGAAAATAAGAAAGAACTTAAGCAATTAAAACTCGTTTTTTTCTCATATTTAACATTAACAGGAACGATTGCTTCTATCAGTTCTTCCGGAACATGTTGCTGTTAAAATGCGACAGGATTTAGGGTCAAATGATTCGGAACAGTTTAAGAAAATTTATATGAGTCGTCACGAAAATGTCAGGTGAGTTATTTGATTTTGGGAATTGTTTCTGTCCAGCTTGAAAGTATTTTGACATTTACCTTTTACAAATTACATTGTTCCGTCTGAAAAAGAAAAAAAAAATGACTCGCAAGTCGTAAAAATCCCAGAAAGCTTGCGTTTGCATGAAAAAGTTTCTTTTTAACGAAATTACGTGACTGACATTTTTTCCAACCCACATGACTTCAGATCTCTCGTCATCTAATATAAAAGTCATTCAAGAGTTTTTTTTTAACTGAATGTCACTGATATGTTATAAATTGATAAATAAATAGCTTTACGAAGAATAAGTGTCCGGGACTATTTGTTCAGGATGATATAGAAAATGTTGCGTGGGTGGATATTGTATAAAAATGACAAATATGTGTCGAAGTAAGGATTCCTTGATTAAATGAAGCTCTTCGAAGCTTTAGAAAGATCAAAGATTTTATTTGAGTGACCATTTAATCATCTTTAAAAACATTTCTGACTTCATCAGACTGGAAAGTATCTCATGAATGCGTTAACTTTTTGATAAACTTTCTCGTCTTAATATCAATTTTCTTATATTGAGTTTGTCTCCATTTCATGTCAAAAGCTGCTTTTATTAATCATCCAAATAAAACGAGGACAACAATATAAATTTACTTTTGAGAATCATAAATTTTCATGACATTTTTTCTTGGGCCTTTAAGTTAGAAAGATTGGAAAAGTTCTTCATCCCGCATGATGCCTAACAGAAAAATATACAAGAAAACTTTTTTTCTTTTTTTGGACTTTGGGTTGTTTATCAAAACGGAAAAATCGAATCGTCCAGATAATCTTTAACATCATCAGAGATATTTGACGGGAAAAGTTTTTATCCTCAAACTTGATTTACATCGTTCATTGTGAGACAGAAAAAATATTTTTTGTTGTCTTTTTTTTGTTTTGTGTTGTTGAAAAATTATTTCTTCGAAAATTCTTCTACGTCGATAAACTTAATTAAAAGTTGTTCAAAGCGATTAAAATGTAATTTGGGTTTGTTTCGCTCTATTCATCTTCGCTTTAGCCCTTTTTCGTCTTCAATTTAACGACAGCTAAAAGGCGCAGGTGAAAATGCTCCATTGATTAACAATTATAAACTTTTAATTAATTTCTGACGATATTTGGTTTGAAAATAACGCAACTTAGTGATTAAGAGCAAAACTTTTCTTTATAAATTGTCGTTCTTTATATTTTGGTCTTGGAAGTTTATCAGATAAATGAGAAGCTTCATGAACTCGCTTAATATATTTACTTCTTGTATTCCAAAGCTATTAACATCTGAAAATCTGATAGCAAACATTTATTTCATCATAAAAAGCACTCGGTGATGTCGCATCAAGGATTATGTTGTGGTGAAAGCCCGGTTATTTGTCCCAAGCTCAATAAGACCCTAAATACAACCTTCCATCACTAAGATATTTCCCTGTTCAGTATTAACTCAACCAATCTGCTCCGAAATTTATAACAAAAGCGGCAATGTCACAAAACCTGAAAGCAGAAAAAATTGTCTGCCAGTGGACGATAAAAAGATAAATTTTCGACTCTTTTTTGCCCCTTCTGTTAAATGCGAATGAATAGTGTGGGATAAAAACTTTTTCAACCTACTTTAAGGCAAACATATCTAAACAGAATTTTATTGAATATTAAGCTTTAACACCTACAGTATTAAGTTCTTTCAATTGATATTCAAAAATGTTATTATTAATGCTTTCAAATGTTATATAAACATGTTTGCTTCTTTACAGCATTCTATACGCTGACATTGTGGGATTCACAGCCATTTCTTCAACCTACTGTGCTCAAGATTTGGTGAAAATTCTAAATGAACTCTTCGCTCGATTTGATCGATTAGCCGAGGTGAGTTTCTATAAATATTAAGAAAATTGATTTTTCGCGTTGGAAAAAGTTAGAAGTAAAAATCAATAGAACTTATTTTTATTGCAATTTCGCATGATGGATAAGGTTTAATAGTTTCTTACAGGTTGATATCTCTTAAAAGCTTTCAAACAGAAACCTCAAGACAAATCCTTAATAAGCCTTTGATTATGTTTTATGCTTTTGTACAACATAAGATTAAGAAGCTTGTGGGAGTTTGTCAAAAGATTGAAAAGGTTACAATATTTCATGTTTTCTATCGAACAAGCATCAAATGTTGTAGAAAAAACTCTTTAGGGAGAAAAATTCTTAATTTTTTAACATTCTTTGGAATGACGTTTGCAATGGTTATAGCAAATAAATTCTTGTGTACAGTTTAAACTTTAACTTACTAATTTCAATAATAGCAAATTTAAAGTTTGAAGTTTCATCACAATTGACGTCAATCAGTCAATTCAAGAAAGGCTTCAAGAAGCTAAAAGAAATCCCAATTTGCCATTTGCCTACCGTTTTCACTTTACTGCAAGGTGTTTTTGTTGTAAACGACAAAATCGTTGTTCCATTTGGATTAGAACAATGGGAAAATCCCAACAGTTTAGATATAATGGTGGAAACGTGGTTCACGAAAAGACTTTAAAAGAACAACATGAGGTTTAGTTTTGTTTTGATAAGAAAGTGGGTGTAGGAGAGATTAAATTGCGTGCTGAACTATAATTGAATGTGTTGTGTCATGTTTTATCGATTAAGAAGTACTTCGGTCGTTTACATCAACTTTGTTTCTTTTTTTGTTTTTGTTTTTACAGAAATATCAACAACTAAGGATAAAAATTCTCGGTGATTGCTATTATTGCATCAGTGGGGCGCCAGTCGAACGTGATGATCATGCGGTGAGTTTTGTCTTTAAATTTTTCTATTCATCATATCAGATCACGCAAGGACTCAATCAAGATTATTATAATATTTTTAATTAAGTTTTTATGACGATAATCATTTGTTGTCTTCTAATAATTCTCACGCACAGCAACTTTGCGTTTTCATGGGATTATCGATGGTGAAAGCAATCAAGTAAGTGAACAAATTTGCATCCCATTCATTTATTGTTAGGTTTGAGCTTTTATAAGCTCAATGTGATATTATGATGTTGATGTACACATTAGTCACAGATGACCGAAAATCAATAACAACGTTTATACCCTTATGTATTCTTCTTTTTCACAATAAATCAATCATTTCATACAGATATGTTCAACAAAAGACAAATTCACCGGTCGATATGAGAGTTGGTATTCACACGGGCGCGATTTTGGCAGGTATTTTGGGGCAACGTCAATGGCAGTACGACGTTTACTCAAAGGATGTCGAGTTAGCAAATAAAATGGAGTCAAGTGGAAAGGCCGGGTATGTTTATAAAAGAGGATTTGACAAAACTGTGAGGAAAGTGAGGTTTTGCGACATTGAAAACGTAGCAAAAATAAGAAGCTCAGTTTTCTATGTGAACTTGAAGAATCTCTCGAACTGTCAATTTTTGTTTCTACGTTGACCATTTAGGAATGAAATCAAGTAAAACATTTTCTCGTTTATTTCAACAGACGAGTTCACATCTCGGAAAAAACTCTTAACTTTCTGAATGGCGAGTTTGAAGTGGAGCCCGCTTATGGAGAAAAAAGAGAAGAAGCCTTGCGAACTGCAGGCCTAAAAACATTTTTCATCACGAAGGTACTTAAACCGGTAAGGATTGTTTCCAGCAGACATGAAAAGAGTTTCAGCAGCAAATATTGAGAGTGCTTTGGTTCTGTTTATTAAAGCACGAAGCCTCCATCATGCGTTGTTTTGTTTTTCTCTCCTACTTAGAAGCGAAGGGATGAAAAATGTTTATTCATGGAACGTTTGCTTTCGTTTGACTCTTGAATCCTTTCTCCCACTTCTCTGCATCACAACTGCTTTTGATTTTTCTGTTCATGATGAGAAGAGTTCATCAGTGATGTAGTGCGAAATGAAATTCAAGGTGAAATATCCTCACCGTTGTTGAAAATTGATTAACTAACCCAGAATCCAACCTTCCAACGCTTCATATAAGTATATAAAAAAGGAAGTCAAAAGCTTTTCTAATGAGCTCTTCTATTTTTTTTTTTTTCTTTTACGGACATGAACAGAAGAGGATGGAAAAAGGCAAAAAAATCTTTCTCGTTTTTTGACTTTTAGGAAGCTTCAAAGTTATTGAAAAATTCATTAATTTGAGAGAACATCAAGACGTCAAATTGTAGAAAGTTAATACATGTAAGACATAAGATCGATGAGAATCCTTTAAGATAAATATTAATTATTTATGAACATTTGAAAAAGGTGTGGATGTAGAAGTCTTAACATTTACAGAACGCTGGCGGTTTCTTTATACTTTTTTCCTCATTTCACAAAATAAATGAAATGGAAGTAAAAAAAAGATTCTTAAATATTTTGATGAAAATATTTTTAGATAGGAATGTTTTTCTAATTAAATTCGATGCTCGTTATTTTGTTGATTCTTTGGAAAACATTGAAGTTTGATTAATCAAATTTTCTTCTAGATTTCGGAAAGATTTCAATCAACTGTGTAAATATCCTGAAATTCCAATCAGCATTTTCATCTTTATACTAAAAGATTGAAAAGCTTTTGCCTCATCCCCACCCTTTATGCTTTTTTATTTCGGGAAATTATTTTATTTGAGTTGAGAAAATCCATAAAGCACTTCTAGCGAAAATCAATAAACCGCAAACTGTGGCTACATCATGAATATTTGATCATAATGTGAAATAATTTGTAACACGTTTATTGAATAATCTAATTTTGTTACAATCTCTTTCGAGTTTATTACAATGAATGATGTGATAAAATAGACCGATGTAAGCTTTTATCACAATATTTTATGACAATTTACTAAAATGCCAATGAAGCTTAATCCTGATAATGACTGTTTTGTTTCTTCTTTTAAGAATTAATCCTTTTGTGTTTGTTGGAAAACTGTATTGATCAGATAACCTGAAAATTTCTAATTAAAATCACAAAGAATATCAAAAATTTCCTTCATTCAAAAGTGCCTGAACTGGTTATTATAATTGGCTTGTTTCAATTAATAAAAAATGTTTTTATCATTACTTATTTCTGCTTAATAAGCTTAACCCACAGAAGATTTAAAAAAACAGTAAAAATATTAGAAAATTCCTCAAATCGTCTCATTTCATTTACGTCACCGCATGCTGAGAACGAGAGTTTCTGGGTTCATTTTTCGTTGTCATAAAGTTTATGATGTTCTTGTATGATGGAAAAAATAAACTCCCGCTTTAAGTTCATTTTTATGAGCTTTCAATTTTTATGAAAATTATAAAAATCTTGATAAAAATAATGTTTCCCAGGGTCTTAGAAAAGCATTCGCTGCTTGACTTTCCTCGAAGCATTGGTGCATTAATTTTTCCCGTCACCGTTAAAATGTCTCAAGTGATGAAAGCTTTTAACTTTTTATTTAAATAATTATTTCTAAGACATGTGCTGACGTCATTCCTGATGTTACCGCGATATCAAAGAAACAATTTTAATTTATTTATTCTGTTGAATTTATTTATCGAGATATTTCATTAATATTTTCAAAGCAGTCTATCAGACTACATCTGACACTCATGCTGACTAAGAATGTTGATTGAAAATTCCATGAATATAAAAATTAATTGAATGAGTCGCTTTCTTGGAAGATGGAAGAAATTTCAATGGAAATCGATTTCAAAGTATCCATAAATATTTCTACACACATTTGTGCTGACGATTTATATCTTACAAACACTGAAGAATTCTCATAGAAATACCAAAGTCTTTCCAAGAATAAATTTGTTAAGATTCATCGAATCATTAAAGTCAAAACTTTTCATTGAAGAGACAAAGGAATAAATTATTTGTAAGCTTGAATTCATCTTGGAATGAAACAGACTGTGAAAAGATGAACTCTTATTACAAGGTCAACTTCAATTGCTTTTTGACATTTTGATAGAAATAAATTTTCATTTAATGATGAGATAAAAGTTTTTTTGAAATACAAAGAAAAAGCTTCAGGAATTACAACATTCAGTCTACAAATTCATTTTCCTCAACTTCTTTTGATGTGAATTTCATAAACTTTATTGCTTTCTTTCATGTCATCCTGGAAGTATCCCTTAAAACAAAGAACAAAATCCCCTAAGGATGTTTTCCGAGAAATATCAGAATAAATTTCATTACATAAGCTTAGCCTGTATTAAGTGAAAACTCTTAATGAAAAATACTTCGAAACTTTCTTCTTCAACGTTTATTCTCATAATCTGCTTACAAAGATATGCTGACAGTTATGAAAAGGATAAAAGCAACTTTCTTTTCCATTTCTTATGTGAATTTTCTTTTCATTTGATAAATTTATTTGGATGTGCTCTTCATTCTGCATATCTTACGGTGAATAAACATTTTTCAGAACGATGGGATGAGATAAAAAAGTTCATTTGTTATGCTAAAATAATGTTCTGCAATATAGTTTTACATTGTTTACTTCATCTATTATATTTTATCGTAGTTTGTGGCAAATGAACATAAAAACGGTATAAACAATGTGGAGCCTAAAGATGCTGTAATCGAACCGGATGGACCATCAATTATCTCGAAAGAAGAAGATGACTCGAAGGTAGGATCTTAATTAAGTTAATGTCACATCAACAATAATCACATTAATTGTCCATACATTTAGTGTACGTCGCCAGGAGATTGTAACGATGAAGAGGCAAGAATTGGTGTCAATGAGAGGGAAGAAGAAACTTTGGAGAATTACAAAGTTCGTTTGAGGAAAGAGCTTGTTTCACGCGATGGGCATAGCGAGATTGATAAAGACACGACAATGTTCCTGACATTTAAGGACAAAAATCTTGAATCGGCCTACAGCACTTATCGTGAGCCGTTTTCATCCGTTCCGCTAACTGCTTCGCTCCTAGTCCAAATCATTGGAGTTTTTTATTCATTATTCGTCTTACCATGGTGAGCTTTTATTTGATGTAGCTAAATGAAATGCAAAATTAATTAAAAGTTTATTAATCGATTTTTCTTTCTTTTTCTTTCGTCCATCTCAGGACATTGCTTCATTTTACGCTGGTGCTACCGCCGACGCTTGTGATTGCTGTCATCGTGTTCATATCGATCGCTGAAAGTTTTCCAAGCGTGAGTTGAATTGATTAATTAAAAGTTCTATCGTTTCGCTACAATTTGTTTCACACTTCCATTCGTTATTTTCTTCATTCATTTGTAAATATTTGAATATCAGAGAAAACAATTTCCATAACAATGATTTATTGTCAGTCACTACTTGTGACGATGGAAGAAGAAAATAAGAAAGAAAATTTCTCTCATTGGATGTGACAGCTTAACAATCAAATCTTTCCATTTTCATTTTTGATGACAAAACATTTTACGTACTTCTATTTGCGAGACGATAAACGAATTAAATTTCATTCAACTCCCTCACAATTCCCCAGCGAATTAATTTCATTGAAAGTAATTTCTGTAAAGTGCATCATGCAATCGTTCGCTTTTCATTTCTCTCATGCTTCGTTGCAACATTTAACATCAAATTGCAATAAATAAATAAAAGTCAACATTGACTTTAACGATAGTGCAATGTGAAAGTCAAGCAATCAATTTTCCATGATCGATTTGTGAAAAAAAATTATTCGGAATCTCTTCGTAGATTTGAACTTGAGTTGAATTGTTCTGATGCAAGACGGGATTTCATTTCTTATTGACAAAAAAGCTTTTAAATAGAAACTCTTCAAATCGTTTCAACTTGACCTCATTTCATGACTTTTATTGCTACAACTTCAACACATGTTTGACACAATTTTATATTTTAACTTTTCCAGATCATTCCGCCATTTTTGTGTAATGTAAGTAAGAAATTCAACGACTGTGTGTGGCTGAGAAAAGCGTCAACAATACTGACAATCTTGTTGATTGGCTTCTCAAATGCAAGCGATATGGTAAGTTGAAACTTTAACAATAAATTCAATTGCCTTTGATGATGTTTACGCCCAGAAAGAAAAACAAGCTTCATTTCCAATCTTTCATCTCTTCCAGTTTATATCTTCACTGAAGAATGCAAAAGATGACTTCACTTCAATTTCATTCATGAACGATTCTAATGCAATAATAACAACAAGTCCTGAGGAAAACATTACAACACCATTGTACGACTCAACACCTGTTCATGATCCATGGACGGAGTGCATGTTTCCATCATACTTCAATCATTTTGCTGTTCTCATTTTAATTGCCACGAGTGTTGTTACTCAATTATCGCATTTAACGAAGATTTTATTGATGGTCATTTTAACAGGTGAGTCAACAAGAAAAGAACAGAACAGAAAAAAGATTTCAGATGAACTTAATTATTTATGAGTAGAAAAATTATTCACGCCACTCTTCGCATCAATTACTAAAATTAAAATCTAATCTCATCTGATATGGAGGGAAAAGTTTGACGTTTATTAATCCCCATTCTCCCAATTGCTTGATTAATTATATTATAAACATAAAGTTTGTGGGTGATATTTACAAATAAATTTTACACTTCATGAACAAACAGCTACGTAAATTCGTGGCACAAATTTGTTGAACAAACTTATTAATTAAAATTAGTATCTGCTTATAATTGCTTTTTAATGGAAAGCACCAAACTTTACATGAAAGATTAAAAAAGTAATTTTATTTTAGGATTTTGTTGTTTACTATAAACTTTTTTAAATTAATGTAGAAATAGCTCAGAATTCCATAGTGAAGCTTTCTCTAGAAAAACGTTATGATGTGGGAAGGTTCAAAATGTTTTTTAATCAAGAATTCAACGTGATTGCATCTGAAAGAAATAAAAAACTCATGAAAATAGTTTTCTATTTAAAATTCTAGCAGAGATGTTGTTAACATCTTTTATATAACTCTAATTGATATTTATGTATGTAAGCTTCATAGTTGAAGCATTAAATTAATTAATTTCGTGTTATCTATTTTCAGGCGTTTACTGTGTAATCAACATATTTCTTCTCGAAGAGGCTTTCAAACATGAAAAGTATTATACGTGGACTCAGTAAGTTGATGCGTAACGATTATCGCATTTCTCTTTCTGGTATTAAGCATACCCAACTTTTAATTTGATTATTTTCTGCCTTTTGCACCAACACAGAGGCGTTCCATTGCGGTTTATTTTATCAGCGATGTTAATTGGCGTAACCGTTGCTTTATCCGTCTTATCAAGACATGTAAGATAATTATTTTTATAAGTGATGTCTTCATATTAACAGATGTCCACCTTTTTACAGATGGACAAAGTGGATCGAGTCATATTCATGTGGAAGAACGAAGTCAGCGATCAAAAAGAGAAGGCAAAAGATATGCGAAGGCGGAACGAAGCTTTGGTTTACAACATCCTACCCGAACATGTTGCAGAGCATTTTATGGGGAATCGAAAGCGTTCACATGATGAACTTTACTCGCAAAGTTACGCTGAAGTTGGTGTTTTGTTTGCGAGTATGCCAAATTTTTCAGATTTTTATTCAGAAGAAAGTGTTAACAATCAAGGCTTGGAGGGTTTACGTTTCTTAAATGAGGTCATTTCTGATTTTGATGCATTGCTTGAGCTTCCTCAGTTTCAAAACATCATCAAAATCAAGACCATTGGCAGCACTTACATGGCTGCAAGCGGCCTAAATCCGTCACAAATCAGTAAAGCAGACGATCCAGTGACCGTAAAATGGTCACATTTATCGCTTCTCGTTGAATTCGCCCTTGAACTCAAACGAGCGCTTCAAAGCATCAACGAACAATCATTCAATCATTTTGTGTTGAAAATGGGAATTAATCATGGACCAATTACGGCGGGTGTTATAGGAGCACGAAAACCTCATTACGATATCTGGGGAAATACAGGTGAACGAAGTTAATTCAATTGTGAAAATCATCCGTGGTCTTCCTCGTGATTGTAAAATTAATTTTTCTTATTTTCTTTCTTTCTTGTTTGCCATTTATTCGTTTAGTTAACGTCGCATCAAGAATGGAAAGCACGGGAAAAGCTGGAGCTATTCAAGTGACGGAAGAAACTTGTCAGATACTGCAAATGTTTGGTTACACTTTCGAACAACGAGGTTTAGTTGCTGTGAAAGGAAAAGGTCAACTGATGACATATTATCTGAAGGGAAAGAGTGAAAAACTACCAACATCACCAATATTAATGCAAACAGTTCTTGAAGTCGACGAACCGTTGGTTTCAATCGCACAAAATCCACCCGAATCGCCAAATCCTCTCACACTTTCAAGCGCAACTGCCAGTCCAAGTTCTGTTAGATTAAATCAAAACTATCAGCCAAGCACAGACAATGAACATGATAATCTCGAATCACTTGAGAGCAACTGCGAGGAAAGTATCAATGATATTAGAAATGCTAATGAGAGTTTAAAACTCTCTGAAAATGATCCACTGCTAAGTGAAAGTTCGAAAAGTACAAGCACAATTCATAGTTCAAATCATAAGAACAATGAAAAAGACGCTTTATTAGAGAACGGAACGTAAATGCACAGCTATTCCTTTTCACAATTAAACTCACTGGTCGAACTTCAAATAAAAATTCATTGTTGAGCTTTTTTCCTTTTTATTCCTTTTTTTATTTCCATTTCAAAAGCTTCCAATTAAAAAATGAGGAAAATTATTCAAAAGATGCTGTTCATGCTTCGTAGTTTGTTCATAGAAAGAAAAAAATTATATATAAATGTGTAGGTTGTGCAAGCAAAGATATTTTCATACTCCATTTCATCTCAATTCTTCTGTTCATACCACGTTTCATTTCTTATGCATTGAATTATCTTCACAAGTACCGCAAAGTGCAAAATTGTCTTTACCACATCATATCAGCCTCATACTCCTCATTCAACTAATCTGTTATTAAATAATTTCAGATGATAATTTAATTAATTTCGAATGATATAAGAAAAGAAAATAAAAAGCTGATTGAAACTGAAAAAGCTTTTACTGCGAAACAACAATCATAGTGGAAAAACTAGACGAAATGAAAAATCTTTATTTAATGGTGAAAAGAAATTGAATGACAACTACTGAGAGGATAATTTAGAAAAGTTTCGCTTTTACTTATTCAAGCAAGCTCAAAATATATTTTCATGAAATAAATTCAGAGATTGTTGACTTCTTTCAAACATAAATAGAATGAAAATATTTAAGTTTAAAAAGTATAGGAGATTATAATTAAAAACAATTAGAAGAAAATAAGTTTAAGAAAAATATTTAAAGAATTAGTAAATTAAAAAAAAATGTAGAACTGATTAGCATGCATAGAGAGAACAAAACTAGCTATCGAATCTAAATACATTTAGCTAAATAATTTATGGAATTAAGAAAAAATCTTCAATTGTGATAAAAAGATTTTTCAAATTTCTTATCATTTCCCTATTTATGAGTCATGCCATTAACATTTTTATTTAATTTCATCGTTTTGAATAATTGTTGTAATCATTTTCTCATTTTATAAAAAAAGTTATGCAGTTAATAAATGTAACAAAAGTTATATAAGCTGAATAAAGTTTCAACATGTGTTTTAAAGTATTTTTATGTTGTTTTCTTTTCCAAGCTTTAAATACATATTTCAGGTTTCTTATTCTGAGTAATTTAAATAAGAGAAAAATAACTTCAATCGCTTCTATTACGGAATTAAACTCATTTCAACATTTCTTTTAAGGTTTTGTTTTATCTTATGAAAATTCAAAACCAACAAACAAATTGTAAACTTGATTTATTCACCCACACTAAACATTTCGCCAGAAATTTATTAGATAACACATTACGTTAAATACAGTGGACTCTCCCTGTAACATTTCTGCAGGGAACGGAAAAATGGATGTTATAAGGAGAGAATTTTGTTCTAGATTTTGATCGAGGTGTGGATGTTATATGGAGTGATGTTATGGGGAGAGTCCACTGTATAGGAAAATAAAATACTTCCGAAGACATCTTTAGAACATTAAAAGCTTTTAAAAATTTGTAATTATTATAAAGAATTTTTGTTTTTATTTCATTTCCATGTTACGAAAACTTTAGTACAATAAAAAAATTTATTTCCATCAATAATCCCATGCCTGGTACGTTAATTACTCACAAGAGTAATCGGAATCACACAATCTTAATTGAGGGTTGAATCTTGTTACACCTTGACATGTGTAAACGTTACCCTTGACACCATCAAATGCGTAGCAGTACACATAATTCAAACAATCGTTTGTCGAAGGATGTGGATAGTAGCCAACAGCTCTTGTTGAACACCAGATATTAGCATCGAACTGCGCTAAGGGTGTAGTACCTTCAGTTCTAAAGAAATATTACCTCTTAAGTAATTGAAATTATTTTCAACAACAAATTTATTTTCTTACGTGGTTGTCGGGTTATTTGTTGTCACTGTCGTTGTACTTCGGGGAAAATTTATTAAAGGTATAAATTTAAACGATAATGAATTGAAAACAAAAACTTACACGGTTGTTGGCGTGGTTGATGGCGTGGTAGGAGTCGTAGTCGTTGAAGTTGATCTTGTAGGAGCTTCTGTGGTAGAAGATGTTGTAGTCGGAGTCGTAGTCGTTGAAGTTGACCTTGTAGGAGCTTCTGTAGACACGGTGGTCGTTGAAGTTGATCTTGTAAGAGCTTCTGTGGTAGAAGATGATGTGGTTGGAGTTGTAGTCGTTGAAGTTGACCTTGTAGGAGCTTCTGTGGTAGAAGAAGTGGTGGTCGGAGTCGTAGTCGTTGAGGTTGACCTTGTAGGAGCTTCCGTAGTCACGGTGGTATCAACAATCGTTGGGCATGTTGCTGGTGGCTCAACTATAAACTGAACAGGTGCAATGGGACAAGCTGCCATCAAGCTGTTAGTTATTGAACATGGATCCAATGAAAATCCTTGATTACAATACATTCCAGTGGAACAATTCTGAATGTTCGCAAGATCCAAAGTGGTAGAGAATAAGCACGGAACAAATTGAGTTCGACTAAATGAAATAAAAATTTATTTAAATACAAAATCAATTTCTTAAGTTGAATAATCGTCTTATCAGTAACCTTATACACGCAAATCCAAACATTGGATCGCATGTGTTGCATTGCGCATCACTTTTTGGAACCACAACGACAAATAATAAAAACATGAAAAGCTGAATTTCAATAAAATATTAAAATATTCTTCCCATCATGTATATTTTCTTTACCCAAATTGTCATCATTTCTGTTTTGCTTGTAGCTGCTGGAAGATTCAACAAAGTTATGAATTTAGAAACGATATGAGTTTATGAATTTGTAAAAATCTCTTATCAAATAAAATATTTATTTATTTTGTCAAATATAATATTTCACTAAGAAGTTAAATATTTAAGTCTGACACTTTTCCGAGATATCACAAAGACGCTTATACGGATTGAAACGTGATGATCCTGGGCACATCAAGACAGCTCCCATATTTATACTGTTTTCTACGAAACAGCGAACATAATATGAGCAGTCGAGATTTGTTGGATGCGGGAAAAGTCCGACAGAACGATCTGAACAGAAAGTTGTTGGATCGAATGGTTGGTCTTCTGGCTTCATTGTAGGAAGTTTAAACATCAGCAGTTCATTTTTACACGTTTCCATAACAATTTCTCCATGATGGGTGTGACTATCAAAGCAAGGCGTTTCTTGATGTTTAAGTGGCAACGAAAGATTGCAAACTGAATGCTTTGGACACTCGTCAACTGTCGTCAGATCCCAAAATGTATCATTACATCTTGCGAATTGCGGTTTGCTCAAACAAGCATAATGAATTGTTGTATTGCATACTCCACATTGTCCAACTGCTGGTTCGTCTTCTGGCTTTAGTTTAGGAAGTTTAAACATCAGCGGTTCATTTTTGCACGATTCCATCACAATTTTTCCATGATGAGTGTGACTATCAAAGCAAGGTTTGTCTCTATGTTTAAGTGGCAACGAAAGATTGCAAACTGAATGTTTTGGACATTCGTCAACTGTCGTCAGATCCCAAAATGTATCATTACATCTTGCGAATTGCGTTTTGCTCAAACAAGCATAATGAATTGTTGTATTGCATACTCCACATTGTCCAACTGCTGGTTCATCTTCTGGCTTTAGTTTAGGAAGTTTAAACATCAGCGGTTCATTCTTACACGATTCCTTCACAATTTCTCCATGATGAGTGTGACTATCAAAGCAAGGCGTTTTTTGATGTTTAAGTGGCAACGAAAGATTGCAAACTGAATGTTTTGGACACTCGTCAACTGTCGTCAGATCCCAAAATGTATCATTACATCTTGCGAATTGCGTTTTGCTCAAACACGCATAGTGAATTGTTGTATTGCATACTCCACATTGCCCCTCAACTCCAAGGATATTCAGATTTAACAGCTTGAGTTTGACGAGAATAGCGATACCAACAATTATCTAATAAACAAAAGATATCAGCGACAACTTTTATTAATGGAATGAAAATATTACAAACCAAAACTTTTTTGTTCAACATTCTCTTAATGCTTACTCTTGAAGACTAAAAGTTGTAAAGTTTTTTGTAGGTTTAAATAGTAAATTTCTAATTGCCGCGATATGTGTCAAAAACGAAAGTAAAACTTTTCTATTTATCAGTTTTTTTCTGTGAAATTTCATGCTTGTCTTCATTCACATAGTCAAAGATTTTATTTAAAAAACGAAGTTAAAGTAAGTCCCACTCTGAAACGAAAGCAAATTAAAAAATACTGTCGACATTTTTTCCATCTGACATGTTGAATGCAAAATATATTTAAAAGCTTCCTCTGATTTTCGTTATTAAAAAAAGCTGCGAGCAACAGCAAGCACAGTTGCGGTATGAACTACTTAACGTTCATGTTCATTGGAAGTTTGCTCTACTTGTCAACAACAAAATCAAAGTTTTGTCATGAGTTGGAGGGAAGAGTGAAGCGTGATTTTCATCCGTTGCGACATTGCCAACGTTCAAACAAAAGTGTCATCGCGTATATGAAAGTTGAATCGCTTGAGGAGTGTTCTGACTTTGCAAAACTTAATCGAGGTCTTGCATTCAACTTTAGCCCGAAAGGTCGTGAAAAGAATTTTTTCGCAACTAATGCAACTTTTGAAAGTTCAGAATTAGAAGAATTTTATAATTGTGAAGTTTTAGACTGCCCCGAATACAGAAATTTCTCTTCTATAGTTAATGACACTCGTTTCGATTATTACAGCCTTTATACTCGACCATTACGTGAGTTAAATCAACCAAAAGTTTTTAAAGAATTTTAATTTATTCTATTTCAGCAAATGAACGCGCTTTGTGCATTCCATCAGTTGGAATGTTTGTTCTCTACAATAAGCGAAGCAACTATTCAGTCGCTTATAACATCTGCAAATCGATTGATGGAACTTTAGCTCATATTGCTTCTGATATAAGAAATGTTCAGTTATCGAGACTTTTAACTAGCGCTACAAAGGCGTCAGTAAAGGAAAGAAATGCTTATATTGGACTCAATGAAACAGTTCGTGGAAAATTTCTTGCACCTTTCAATGAACCTTTGGAATGTTTCAATTATCGAGGTGAATTTTTATTGTGTTTAGCATGTAATTATATGTTGAATAAATTCATTTTTGAATCAGCTTGGGCACCTGGTCATCCAAAAGACATTCGAAAGCCAGGATGTGTCGCTTTAACACCAGACGGTTCATGGAAAGTGTTCAACTGTAATCGAAAATTATTATTCATTTGTGAAGTTAACACTTCAGGTCCCAATCCGTTCACAGTTAATTTCAACCAAACCTGTAATATAAAAAATCCCAACAATCGTTTCATACCAAAACTGTCGTAAAGTTTCAGACTTTAATTAAAATTTTTATTGTCAACATAAAATGTGATTTGCTCGAATAAAAACTTTTTCAGACTTTGTGAATAGAATTTGACAAAATCTTGATTTTTGTTTTTCTTTGTGACCTTCCGGTAAGTTTAATCGTGAGCAAGAGAGCGTGACGAAGGAAATAAAGTAAATTTAAAGATTTTTCATGCGATTAACTTGTTTACTGAATCGATTTAATGTTTTAAGCTGAAGCTTTCTTAGCTAGAGTTTGATCGATTGCGGCAACGACTTCAGCAAAAATTGGTTCAACTTCGCGCTCAGCGTCCAATCGTTTCAATTTTGTTGGGTATTGAACAAGAATTTTGTCAGTGTTTTCCCGGAAGGTCGCAATTCTTGTCTTTAAAGTTTCTTCATTATCATCTGCCCGAACTTCAGTCGAAGCGGCGGCACGATGTAAAATACGCGCAACAAGTGTCTCCTGAGGAATTAATTATATTTTAATGACTTCATTAATTATCCATTATTAGCATATCTTACGTTGGCACATTCAAAGTATAAGATGAGATCGACTGGCCCAATTATTCTCTCGAAAGCAGCACCTTGAGCTTGTTCGCGGGGGTAGCTAAATCAATAAAATTTCAGATCATTAGACTTGAAAGATTATCTGAAAATCTTTTACCCATCAATGAGAAATCCTGTAGGATTTTGAATCTTTCCCATGGCAGCAGCAAGAAGTTCAAGCACGACATCATTACTTACGAGACCACCTTTGGACATTGTTTCTTGAAGTTCTTTTCCTTTTGGTGAGCCCGATGCAACTTCAGCTCGCAATAAATCTCCAGTTGATAAATGAGCAAACTTATATTTGGCTACAATTTTTTCACATTGTGTTCCTTTACCACAACCTGGTCCACCAAGAACCCAAATGATTGGAACTTTCGTATCAAGCACCTAAATTTGTGAAACATAATTTTAAATTAATTTATTAACAAACATTTATGAATTAAATGGTTAAGAAAACTTCGAAGTTTATTATCTGACACTAGTTTTAGTAAAAGTTTGCAATGCAATCATGCAACAACGTCACCGTGAGCCAGTGGAAATCATTTAAACTTACTGACGTTTGTCGCTTTGCAGCTTCTTGGGCCTTCTGGTTTTTCTCATGCTGTTGAGCCAATTGATGGCACATGAACAACTTACATAGATATGGAATGACAAAAAAGACAGATCTACTAATCATTGGCATTTGTGTTAAAGTTTTCAACTGTCAGCCAAATCTCTAATTAAAGTTAGCTCAAGTTTATGTTTTATCTTCGTCTAATTGTTATAAGCTTTTCTACTAATTTTTAATTGGTGATAAAAACAGAAGGTTCAAGAATAATAAAAAATTGCAATGAATTTCTCTTACATTTTTATTGCAGCTGCATGTGCAGTCCGTTAAATGATTCTTCGTATATCTTGTGTCTGTATACCATAATAATTTAAACATTGAGAATGTGGAAAAGAAAACTTAAGAGCGAAAATGTTTTTTGAGAAAGAAAAATCTTTTTAATGATCTTGAAAATTTTTATCTTGACATTGAGAGTTTTTAAGCTGATTACTATGATGCATGTGGGAAAATAAACTTCAACCACTGAGTGTGGGATGAATCACGAGATTTTGAACTTTATTATTAGCTTTCTCTCGCGAGTGCTGAAAAGTATGAAATTTCATGGGATGTTCATTAAACATAAACAGAAGAAAAGACGGAAGAAGATTACTTTAGCCTCGTTGAAGGTACTTTATCTATTTTTAACTCGACACTTTTAATTTAAAAAGTGATCTTGAAAATAATTTTAGATTTTAAATATATTGTAGATATTGTGTTACAAAATGTCAACTTCCTTTCAATAATTATATGAAGTTAGAACATTCGAGATGACATTCTTGTTAAATTTTCTACTTAAATAGGTAGTTAAAATACTACGAATGAATTCTATGAAAATTGTTTGAAAAGTGTCACTAAACCAGGTCAACATTGATTTCATTTTACTCGCAAAGGTCACAAATTCCTTTAAAATAAAAAATAATTCTACTCACCATGATGACAGATTTGTTCAATAGATGAATAGAGAAACAGATAATTGACTAAACACAATCCAACTAATTGGATGTTATCACCGCGAAAACTTAGTGATGACTGAAGAGAAAAAATAAACAGAATGAAAAATATTTAAAATCCAATAAAGAATCGCTGCTTTATTTATAGAAATATTTCGCACTGTCCTGATGTTCAAGAGAGTTTGTGATTTGAAATTTCTTGAATGCCTTCAAAATTAATTGATGGGATGTGAGTGACGAAAATTACTTTGAAAGATCAGCTGAAATTTTCTTTTATGAAGTAAAAGCTTTTCAATGTTCATATTTTATTCAGTAGATATTATGCAATTTTTACTATTTTAACTCTCTTTGAAACAGAGAAAAATTCTGAGAAATTCCACGTGACGTAAAATTTACAAGAGAAGTAGAGAATGAAAGTCTTTGGCGCATTTTCATAAAACAGCTGCTGTCTTGATTACAACAAGCAAGTACACAAATTTTCAAGAGCGAGAGAGAGTAAAAAATTTATTCCAAGGGGTAAATCATCGAAAAGAATTGTCCTGCAAAAGCAATAATGATAAAATATCTACCGGCAGATTCCATGAAAAACTGATCAAATTCTTAGAAAATGGTCATTTTTCAGTAATGGCACTAATGCTTTATGAAGCACCATTTAGAGGCAGCCGACAAGAGAATTACGACGAATTACCCCTTGACATATCGTGATAAGAGAGAGAATCAGTAATGTGGGAAGCTTACATTGCAATGGATGAGGAAACAATTAATTAATAACTTTAAATTGACAATCAAGGTTGAAATAGAAAACAAAATAAATTAAAAATACTACGATGATTGCACAATAGAATTGAAACAAAATGTTAAGATATCAAATAACGTTTCATTCACTCCACTAAACAATCTAAAATTGACCTTTGTTATCAATGAACTTCCATTAGAAGACTGAAAATTTGAACATTTTCAGGTTTCTTTTATATAAAATTTTATATTTATGAGTCAAGTAACTCCTCTTATTTCGTAAATAGTTACAAATCTACCTAGTTTCACTAAAGTCTTCCTTTAACTCGAAGTGTACGTGTGCACTTTGTGAAGTTTCCGATCAATACTGATTTGTAAAAAAATAATAATCTCTGACAGTCGTAGTCTCTCTTTTATGTTTGCTTGCTCTCTCAAATAAGCTTTATCGACTTTAAAACTCATCATATTATCTTATAGATATCACAACCTACAAAGCTTTGAAAAACAAATTAAAAAGATTTTTAATTGAAAGTGTTTTTCCTTGTTTTTCTTTATTTCTTATTTCTTTTCTGATTGGACAGATTGTTGATTTTCCTTGGTCCTAATTAAATGTTTTACACAATGATCTACTCATGTTTATTTAAATTATGTAATTTTAACTTCAAATTGAGATAAAATAACATTTCAACTCATCAAGAGTTCTAAAATTCGCATAGCGAGTCGGTGCAAAAAAGTATTCAAGTATAATATTTAAAGTTATAACATTTCTCGACTAAAAAGATTAGAAAAAATTAATAACATAAAATCTCTCAGTATGAATGTTTTTGTGATATGTTTGATTACAGATTTAAAGCCAGAAATTATCACCTTCTGAATGATTGCCAAGATAACTGCTATTGAATGATAGCAACTGTTCCAAATAAATATTTTCAATTCAGAATACATAGACATTGAACAAAAATTAATGTTATTACAGCTAAACAGCAACAAAGTAATAATTTTAACAATAATATGTGTAAATGAGACTGAAAAGTTATCAAACGAGAAGGCAACATAAACATTACTCTACATTATGTTTACTATTGTTCTCTTTTTTAAAAGGACTTCTCAGTGCAATTAGAATTTTTATTCTCTCGCATTTGAAATATTTTCTTAACTTTTTCTTAAATAAAAGTGAGACAAACTTCCATTATTCTTAATAAAACATTCAATCTCCAAATTCATCAATGTCAAGTATAAGAAAAATGTCACATTGCGTCAGAATATTCTTTGGCACAATTGCCACAAAGCCACAAAATGTTGTTGTCATTCATTTCATTTTAAATATGCGAATCAAGCTCTGCATCTTCTAACATTGATCGGAAATCTGGACGACCATTTGGTATATGACCGTTTCTAACTTGATTTTTTGTTAGTGAATTTTTGCCACCAAAGTTTCCATTAGCAATTGCAATGTGATTACTGACTTGATTGCTTATTGTTGGTATTACACCAGGCACTGAATCTTCAAGATCTTCGACATATTCTTCACTTCTCTGTCGATGGTTTCTTGTTTCACCAGAATGATTTCGATTGAATAATGTTTCCCTGTTGTTATTTCCATGAACATCACCATTGACATAAGCATCATTACCAATGAAACTTTCAACATGTTGACGAGTAACTCGTTCAAATTCTTTTTGTACAGATCCGCTATCAGTGTCACCATCAATCTAAAATTTATAAAGAATCAATGACATGAGTCGATTATACATTTTTGAAATTCAAAATTCCTTGAAGAAAGGTCACAAGACACACGCTTAAAAATGATAAATATTTAATCCATGAAACTTACAATTGTTAGTCGACCGTCAACGTCCATTGTCTTTAACATGGGTAAAGTCAATTCACGAAATAGTTCTAATCGTCTTCTAAATGACGACACCGAATCGTCCAATCGACCACGACCAAGTTGAAGCTTCGAACAATCGAGTAGAATAACGGGCGGCTTTTGATTGTACTGTAAGTAAATCAACGACATTTTCATTGAAAAGCCTACAACTGAATAAATAAGCAACTCACTCTTTCTTCAAAATATTGACTCTGATTAACATCACGTGGAAATCCATCAATAATTATTCCCTTTTTATTTATTAATTGAAGGATATTGTTATGTAGAAGCTTCTCGAGACTTTCTTTCGCTACCATTTCTCCGGCAGATATCGATTCTTTGATTGCGTAATTTTCTGTTAATGGTTTTGGCTCTGATTCAGCAAGACCGCGTAGGGTCCGACCAATACTGTTCGTAAATAATTATTAGTAAAAATTATGTCAATTAAATTGAAACTTTACCTTATATGACCCCATCCAGGATTCATTCCCACAGCTTTCATACACAGTGTCGCTTTATTACTTCCTGGACCACCAATAACAAAAATCACTTTAGGTATCTTTGTTTCAATCGTCTTTGATGGCTTTTCGTTGATTGTTTCGACTTCAATAATATTTCTACCGATGTTTCCATTCAATTTCGTTCTTGCTTTCACAGGTGATTCGATGACGTTTGGCGGTGTCGTAATTGCAGCTAATTCATTTGCTTTTCTTTGACTTGGTGCAGTTTCAACGCTGCTAAACGGAAATTTAAGACAATTATCTAAAGTTCAATGACCAGATCACAATAAACTTTGCATTTTACCTAACAATACTTCCAGGAATCTCATCGTTTCCATGGCCGATGCCAGCAACACCATTTAGAACCGCTTCCTGGTTTTCTTGTGTCTGCAAAATATCCAAAATAGCAGAACGAAAATCTTTGTATACATCAGATGGTGCTCGTTCACCGTTGATCTGTTGGAAAATTTTAAATATTTTAGAAAACTTTAAAGTTTAAGTAAATGACACGACTTACAGAAACCAACATATCACTTTGATCAAAATAGTCAGCGACTGGCATGACACTTTTGAAAAAGTTTTCAAGCTCCATTTTGGCCAACGAAAGAACAACTTTTGGTAGTAAAATAATGTTAGTTAAAATACTGTGATTAGCAGAAGTTTGTGTTTCAAACTCACCATGACCTAACTTAGCTCCGTAATCAATTTGTCTCTGTAGAATAGCTTGACGCCATGATATGAGAATGACACCATTTATAACTTGAATCTATGATGGAAATAATGATTTAATGAAATTTCACGCTTCCAACACTTTCATAATATTTTTTTCACCTTTTCAGAATATTCAACAACATCTCGCATTGAACGCGGATATCCTGATATCAAATATGTTTTTGCTGCTGGCGACATTTTCATCTAATTTTTCATGATTATGATAAAAGGTAAATTAAGTGATTCAACGAATTGAAAACAAAAAAAATTCTTTTCACCTCAAGCATCAACACTTCGGTGACAGTCTTTGATGGTAACTGTGAAAAGTCTTGCATGTCTATAAATAAATAAAAAAACCAGAAACAAACAATGATTTAAAACATTTAGAAAAGTTTTTTAAGACATGAAAACTATATTAAGATTTAATTATGCTCATGCAATTGAATACTCATGGGAAGAAACACATAAACAGCGAACGACAAGAAATGTGAAACAAGTTTTGACCCTGATTAATTATGTAGCAGTAAAATTTTCTCCGCTATGTCCGCCGAAAAAGCTTAATAATTGATAGGACTTCAGGAAATTGGAAATCAATAGAATATGTACGTCGTACTGAAGGATGGAAGGAGGATCTCATTAAGCAATTATAAACATTTGTTTTGATGTGAAATAATTTATAGAAACTTTTTTTTGGGAATATGTAAATGGCTTAATATTTAAACATGATCACGAATACCCACAAATATCGACACCACTGTCATTTTTTATTCGAACCTAACATGATTAGTGTGGAAATCGAGAACTTACCATTGCCGATTGCGTATTGTTGTAGCAGATCCATCATATTGATATGAGTCACACCACGTTTTTCTTGCATTAATGTGTCACAATGCGTCACTTTTCCTGAGCCGGGACCACCTATGTGATATTAAAATAAATTCATGTAATTAAACAAGGCAAGATAATGCGTCAAACCTAAAACAAATATAACAGGCACATTCGGCGGTTGAAATTTCACTTTTCCAATATTTGCTAATTGTGGATTTTCGCTTTTTGGCGAAAGTGTGATAGTTTTCGATGTTGCACGGCCACCACCTTTCCACTCGTGTTCTTCGGTCAATGCCTCCGCCTCTGCTAAAGCTTTTGATGCATTTGCTTCTATTGGTTTTAGAATTAAATCATTAAATGAAATTGCTTTTGATATTAAAGACACAGTGGGCGTTTCATGATTGCTTTTCGAGACGAACAAGGTAATGGCTAAGGAATCATTCATTGTTATAATGACACTTCTCTTAAAATAAATCTCATCTATGAGAACAAACACGAAATGTTATTTGACATGAATTCGATCGTTGAGATTACAACCAAATCAACTTCAGATTATTTAGAACCTTCTTTTTATCTTTCATGCAATGGAAAAATATTTCCATGGTGATAACATATGAAAGATTAAAGTTAATTTGCTGTATTTCCTTAAAATAACAACGACGGAAAATTATTCACGAAACAATTTCTTCTCAGACATTTTCATTAATAAATTATACAAAAGCTTTTGAGCATTTAAAACAACTTCTTATTCGTTGTTCCTATAATCATGTTTTTTTATGAAATGTCCACTTATTTGTACGTAAACAATGATACATGACTACAAATTAAGTATTTTCCGATATAAAAATTGTTATTCTCTTCAAGTATTTAAAAAGTTTGTCACAACTTAACATGAATGAAAATTCAGAAGCACAACTTGAATACTTTTTACCTACCAAAACATTTATATTTCTGATTATATTTTTTGAAAAGAAAGTTTTCATATTCAAACGAGAACTTGACAATTTAACTTTTTTTTTATTGAGTTGAAAATGTTGACGAACTTTTTGTTCGCATTATTTAGCACAATATTTAAATATTTTTCTATTTCTTCAATGGAAATAAAATAAGGACGCAAGTTATAGCTCACACGACTATCAATTATTTAATCTAGTCATTCTGAAACAATGATGAACCGTTTTTCCCCTTGAGAGCTCATCAAATATTTCTAAACTTGATTGATGAGTGTCTGAGTAAATTTCTATTTATTCAAAAAATGACGGCATTTCCGTCTTAGGCAACAATAAAACTTTCTTTTCACATCAGATAGATTTCTTGCGTGACAATTTTCTACTTCAATAATCATATAATAACCGATGCAAATTGCAATGCGAAGGAGGTTTTATTGAACACTAATTAATGTTTATATCGGAACAAGATTCTTCGTCAAACGATTCATCCAATAACGATGAATAATTAAAAATATGCAATGAAAAAAAATCAGTAAATTTGTAATGAAAATGAAAGTGTTTTTGTTGTTATTTGTTTGTTTGTCTACATGAATGAATGTTGATGAAACAGCATAGATAAATGAAATTATGCGTGCAGGTTATTGAACGAAATTCTATAAAGATATTTACCTGTATCCATACATATACCCATTATCCATTCGCGGTTTAAAATATATCCTTAAACAATAATTGCTAATTTGTATTGTAGTAACGATTTGATTATAAAAGTTTATATTCTTCGAGTATTATCACTAATTTTACAATATTTGTCCTTTTTACTTTATCGACACTGAAAAATATTTCACATAAAATATCAAACAATTTTACGATGTCAAATATAGAATTTCAAATAATTATTAATATGAAGAAAGTAAGACTTGAGAATTAGAATTTTATGGAATTCAACTAGTGTGAAACAAGCAATAAAAGTTTGTGAAACTCTGATCTAGAATCATTAATTATTCCCAAAAAAATTTTTTTCCTTTTATCAAATTAAAATTCCTTAAACTATTTTTCGTGTTATTTTCTCCTGTTTTGTTTTCAGTTTACCTAAATACTAAATTTTTATTTTAAATTATGATGTCTATCGTCTAATGTGCTTTTTCATACTCGCCACGCGGTCAATTGCATATGATGGTTTAGCATGACATGTTCACATTGGTATTCGTTAATAGCAAGGGCATATCATTGTATACATATGTACGTTGAATCTAACATGACATGACGGTCAGGGTCGGATTGTCTGACAAAAAGCGTTTATAATTTATTTGCGAAGTTAACAATTCTTTTGAAATAAATTTACTAAATTTCATCCACCCACTGAAAACACAAAAGAATCAACTCAACAAATGTTCTATCGATTTATTCAATCAGTAGATATGTAAAAGGAGCTAAAATATAAATATTGACGAAATCGTTTCCATCAACAATTTCATTCTTTTCAAATAAATAAAAAACTTAAATTTCGAACGAGCGGGTATGAAAAGAAAAAGCTTTTCCTAAAATATTTTCCACTGTGAAAGAATCACTGTTTCATTATTAATGAATTTCAATAGGTTAATGATTGAAGCGTGAGAAAAAATTCATGCTCATCATTATATTGCGCAATAAAATTAATAAATTTATATTTTCTTTAATTTTCTATCTGCACAATTTTTTATCATACTTTTTATAAAAATTATCAACCAATATAATGTTTATCACTAAAAACCAGATATAAAAGATTTGATATTTAAAGCTTCTTGTTATAATCCTTTTGACTTGAATGAATATCGCGAGCCGACTGAAAATGAAACGTTTGTGAAAGTGTTTCGAAAATGAAAATGGTGAATAAAGGAAAGTAAAAAAGATACAAACAGTAGTGAAGGATAATTTAGATACATTAATTTTTAATGATGAGTTGAGTAGACCAAAGCTTTAGTTTGCGTAACATACGTGAATGTGTGTATTAGAGAAACGTTACAAAGAAGGAAAGACAGAAAATTTATTTTGATGTATGCACAACTACATATAAAGCCAATGTCAATGAAAACTAATGTCGGGAAAAATGAATGAATTACACATCGATGTAATAAAATTAATTGAGAATTTAGATGATGTTTAATGAAGGACCTTGATCGTCAAAATCCTGAATGACTATCAATGATGACATTGAGTTTTATTTTTGTTTTAATTCTTTTTTATGTTTACAAGTTGTCAAGTAATTCATCAATATCGGTGTTGAAAGTAATGTTGAACTGAAAAGATAAAATATGCAAGAGATTATAATTTATGATTTGGAAGAGTGAAATCTGATTCAACTTACAGAACTGTCGTTAGAACTATTGAAGAATTCGTCATTCTTCTTCAAAATTTTCTCATCTTCCATTTTGTTATCTTCAATTTTAGTAATTTTTTTTTCAGGTAATTCTTGAGATGATTTGCGATAAACAGGAAAGTCAGCTTTAGCGAGTGAAAGCTTCGGTTTTGGTTTAGATGATTCTTGAGACGATTTGGGATAAGCAGAACTATCGTTAGAACCATTAACTAACTTGTCTTTCTTCTTCAAATTTGTCTCATCTTTCATTTTGTTATTGTCAATTTTAACAAGTTTCGGTTCAGATGATTTTTGAGACAATTTTCGTTCAGCAGGAAAATCAGATTTAGCGAATGAACGCTTTGAAGTAGTTTGAAGTTTATGTGAATGTGGATAAGAGTTGCTGACTGATGAAAAACGTTGATCACTTGAAGGAAATTCTTGACTTTTGTATTTCTGATTGTTAAATGTAAGTGAACGTTCGTCTGAATTTACTTGTGAATTTAAATTTAAGTTTGTTAATTTGTTTGAAATTGGAAAAGTATTTGCAGTTGTTGGAGTATTTAACCGAAGTTGTTTAGTTTTCATCTTTTCAGCTTTAAGCTTCATATTCAAATCAGCGATAGTTTTAGAATTGAAGTTTTGTTTCTCTTCAAACTCGTTTGTAAAAGTTGCAAAACTTTTCTGTAACTCGGAAATTTCTTTCAAAATCTTTTCTTCGGCAATCTTGTTAGCATCTGTGAGGGATTTAAATTTATTTTCCATTCCCTTCTCTTTTTGGTCTAAATCATTTATTTCATTTTGCAAACTAGTAGCAACTGACTGATCTTCATTTACTTCCTCGCGAAGTTGTTGTATCAATTCATCTTGTTCCTTTTCCTTTAAAGTATATTTCTCAACATCATTATAAATGTCGTTGTTTTCATTTCGTTTATGTTCCAAAGATTTCTTGCCTTCTTCATAAAGATTATTGCTGGAAAATTCACGAACAAAGATTTCATTCTGTTCGACTTCATCAAAGTTTCTTTCAAGTTGTAAGAAATTTACGAGTTCTTCATTTTCGCATAGTTTTGATTCGAGAAATCGTTTCTGATGTTCGATCTCTTCCAATTGAAACTTCGTTTCTTCAGACTTCTTTATTAATGGTTCAAAGTTATCGAAAATTGTTTGCAATGTTGATGAAACGTTATGCAATGCTTCCTCTTCATATATTTCATTTGAGGCTAATGTGTTAATTGATGCCTCAGAATCTTGAATCTGATTGATCAGAAAATGCATGTCTTCCAATTTCTTTTCTTTCAATTTTACATCTGTATTGACGGTTTCAATCTCTTTATTGATTTCTTCTGCCTTCATCTGAATTTGAGCTTCTTCTTGTTGAAAATTAAAAGTTTTATCTTTCAACGTTTTCAATTCATTTTCTTTCTTTTTTCGTTCGAATGCATGTCGCTTATCAATCTCTTCATAGGATGTCTTTTGTTTTGCGACTTTAGACATCAAGTTCATAGTAGATTTCAAATAGTTTTCCATTCTAGGTTCGACATGTGAGTCAATGTAGGTTTCAATGGACTTCATGTTGTCAGCAATGTTTCTGCGTAATAACATTTTTTGATCAGCAAGGTTCTGCATCTTTTTTGTTTCTTGTCCAATATTACAAATTTGTCCCTTCAATGCCTGTTTAAATTTATAAAAAGGAATAAAAGAAAAGAAAAAAACGTCAAACTAACCTCAATTTCATTTCCAACATTTTCAATATTTCTTCCGAATGTTTTGGCCAATTTGTCTTCAGATTCTTTTTCTTTGTCCAATGTAAAAATATTTAACAATAGTTTTGTTTTCAATTCAAATTCAGCTTTTGACAATTTGAAAGATTCCTTTGAAAGAACTCTTTTAATCGCGTCTTCCATATCATGTGATTCTGCCATATTTTGCGTTTGTTTTTGTATTTGGTGTTACTTCGATACCTCAAATTGAAACTATAAGAATTAATTCAGAAATAACATAATTTTATTCAAAGAGGAATATATTAAAGCAATAAAAAATTCAGTAAGATTAACTACATCCGATCAAGTTGATTAAAGGAAATTTTAATTTCAGTTAAGATTTTTAATTTGTTTTCTAACGCTCAGCCGTAAAAAATTCCCTTAAATAACCCGTCGGCTACTGATCAACAATACATAAAAAATAATTTTTAATTTCCTTTAATACGAAGAAATACTTGTTAATTGCATTTTCACGTAAGTAAAACATTTAGAATAAGTATTTTTGTATCTAGTTTTTTAAAAGTATGTTTAGAAAGTTAACTTTTGATGTCAAAATATTCAAAAGAAAATTTTCTTATAAGTATTTAAGAAATATGCTAAGTTTCTTCTTGAAACTCATAAAATATATGAATATTTTAATGAAATGAGATAATCAATGATCTTTTATGAATTTTAAAGATTCAAACTTAATAAAAATTGCTTAATAAGTATGCAAAATATTTATCAATATGAGATAACCTTAAATGATGCAATTCAAGTTTTATTAAGGAAATTTGTTTTCTCATTTTCAGACAGAGTTCAATAATGGCACAGTTTTTAAACAGAATTGGTCAACTGGGATTGGGAGTAGCAATCGTTGGTGGTGTTGTTAATTCTGCGTTATATAACGGTAAGCTGCCTCTAAATAGACTTTTCACCTTTAATCTTAACAATTTAATTTATTTTAGTTGATGGTGGACATCGTGCTGTAATTTTCGATCGTTTCGCTGGTATTAAACCAGATGTAACTGGAGAAGGAACGCATTTTTTCATTCCTTGGGTACAAAGACCAATCATTTTCGATATTCGTTCACAACCTCGCAACGTTCCAGTAATTACAGGAAGTAAAGATCTTCAAAATGTCAACATCACATTGCGTATTCTCTATCGACCTGTTCCCGATCAATTACCCAAAATTTACTCTATCCTTGGTCAAGATTATGACGAGAGAGTCTTGCCATCAATTACAACGGAAGTTTTAAAGGCAGTCGTAGCTCAATTTGATGCTGGCGAGTTGATCACACAACGTGAAATGGTATCACAAAAAGTTTCAGAGGACTTGACTGAACGTGCCAAGCAATTCGGAGTAATCCTCGATGATATTTCAATTACTCATTTAACATTCGGAAGAGAGTTCACTCAAGCTGTTGAAATGAAGCAAGTTGCTCAACAAGAAGCTGAAAAGGCTCGTTTCCTTGTCGAAAAGGCGGAACAGCAAAAGCAAGCAACCGTCATTTCAGCTGAGGGTGATGCTGAAGCTGCTGTTATGTTATCAAAAGCTTTCCAAAGTGCTGGTGACGGTTTAATTGAATTGAGAAGAATTGAAGCTGCTGAAGACATTGCTTATCAACTATCAAGAGCACGAGGAGTTAATTATTTACCAGCAGGCCAATCAACACTTCTTAATTTACCTCAAATGTAAAAAACATAAAAGAAGTTTAAAGAAGTCTTTTAAAGTAAAAAGTAGCGAGTCTAACAAACTTTTCAATAAATATTTTGTAAGTCAAACAACAATTGATCGTATCTACTTAGAACATTGAAGTTAAGGAAATTGACTGTCACAGGAATAAATTTTAACTAATTGCACTTTCCTGATGACTTTCTAACAAATGAATTTCCTTCGTTGATATGTTTTATTTGTGAAATTTGGTGCATTTCGTTTAAAAATTAAAGCATTGGAATAATAAATAAAAAATTAATATAAAATATTGAAAGTTTTTTTTTATAATAATATTTTTATTCGTTCAAATTTTTATTCAACCATTTCTTCTTTGTCATCAACATCATCTGGAAAATGTGACTCACTGCCATACGAATCGAAATCTCCGTCCTCTTCATCGTCACCTGCTGGTGTTTCTGACTTTGCCTCTGTCGCTTTGTACTCTTCCAAAGAAATGTTCTTCTCATTGCAATGTTTCAACATATTTGCTTGTGCAATCACGTTTAAAATATCTCTGCATTGCTCCATAAATCCTATTGGAAGCCATCCTCGTTTATCATTACAAAGGGCGCCAGGCGGCGGAAGTGGAACTTCATTCAACATTTCTTTAATCTTCGGAATGTGAATGTCAATAAATTGATAATGACGAGCTTTGAAAGGTGGAATTGTGTCGATTGTGAATATCGCATGTTTTTTTCGTAGTTCAAAATTCTTTTCAATTTCATCTTCTTTGAATGGTTCCGTTTCAAGTTTTGCTGGGACTTTTAATCGATTGTAAATTCCACTTGAACGAAAACTTTTCACTTCACCTTTAAAACTGGCACCAGCTCGTACTCGATAATCCAAAAGCTGATAGAAACGACTGTCAAAATTTGTACGTGGATCGTAACCGAATCTCACAAAACAATTTCGCCATGGACCCGATGAGTAATAGTAAGAGATTGGTGCAAGTGCATAATTCAAGCGACGAGGTGGAAAACGCAAAAAAGCTTTAATTGATGCCAATGTCCACATCGGTCGTTCCTTAAATAAATTATTTAGAGATTCAAATTCTTCTGGTGTCACGAATTTATCTCTCATTTCTATCGATGCTTCTTTTGGTTGTAAAGGTATAGGATCAGAAATATGAAAAGGAATTGATATCCCATGTGATGCGCGACTAGTTCGAACTGTCGCTGCAAATCTTATGTCTTCATCAGGATCTTCAACAGTTCCATTTCTTATGTCCACCACCTGCATTGTATCACTTCGAGTGAAACATGTTGGTGGGAGAAATAATGGAACATCTTGTCTTTCTCTATAATTAATTATAAAATGAGTTAAGGAATGCTTGATAAACTTCTTAAAATAACTCACCTTAACCATGACGGACCTACGTTGATATCTTGAGGTACAATGTCATTGTAAATATTTTCTGTTTCTCCTGTCTTTTCATTTCTTTGAATAGGAAGGAACTGATAGTCAGCGTAATTATTAAACTTGTACATTGTTGATACTGTTCCGTAGAGTTCAGCTGAAATTACTTCTGGTTTTTTATTCACATCTTCTTTTGATTTTCTGACTTTTAATTTTATTAACATTCCAGTCACATCATTTGGCTCGGTACTTAAAACCTGTCACAAAACATTTGAGGAAGAAGTCATAAAATTTAAAATTAAAATGCTACTTACCGGCTTTGCATAGAAATTTTTTCTAAATTGTAATTGCAGTTTTTGCTTCTCATGTAAACCTTTCGACAACTCTTCTTTGCCACCTAAAGTTTCAATCATTCTGTCAATATTTTCTACTCGTCCAGGATATTCTATACATATTAATTCCTTTGCATTTTTCGTATTGATTTCCATTGTTTAGCTTTTATGTGTCGTTTACGTTTTCAAAAAATAGATCATTTAAGGGTACATAAGTATGGTTATAATTTCTGAAATAACACTTGAATTCCCTCCAAAAGGAACATCGAAAGCTGAGCGTCAAGCACAATAATCTGCGTATTAAAAGAAAAATTTATAAAAATTATAAATTCTGCCAAAATAACGTTTCATTGAAGGCTTTAAAAGCAACTGTGTTTTTGCCATAGGGTCAAATTAAAGGAATATATAGAAATTAATTATGTAAGTATGAAACTCACGACATAAACATGAAGTTAAAATCAACTGACAACAACAACACCATCAACAGCAGTGAAGTTTCATGAAAATGCTTGAATTTTGATTTTAAACCTACTATATTTAGTTATTTTTGAGTAGAAGAAAAAGATCTGTTGTCATATTGAATCTAAAATAATCTTTTAAATTATGCATTAATAAATTCAAAATATTTATTAAATCGTGGCGGTGCAAGAAGAAGAAAACCGGTAATTAATGAAGGAAGAAACAAAATTTCAAGCATTCCAAGTGAACGCAACTATTGAAATGCTTTTTTTATTTGTACCAAAATGGTCTAGCTCATAAGACATCAATTTATTCGTTATGCTTTAATTTTACATTTACCGTATGTTTTTCTACAATTCACAATAGAATCCGACGGTTTGTCCGTGTTAATCCGAGTTTTATCCCGTGAAAGAGTTCAAGTCGTGCGTGTGACCCCGCGAAGGTCGAGAAATACAAATAATTATGCCGGGTGCTCAATCATTTAAATTATTTATCGGAAATCTGGATGAGAATACAAAGACGAATGACGTTCGCCCACTTTTTGAGAAATATGGCAAAGTCGTGGAATTCGACATCGTGAAAAATTACGGGTTTGTTCATTTTCAAAACGAATCTGATGCCCGTGATGCTGTTGCAAACCTGAACGGTTATGTTATCAATGGCAATGCTATAAAAGTTGAAAATGCTAAATCACGTCGCGCACCAAACAGCAACACAACGAAAATTTTCGTGGGAAACTTAACTGAGAAGACACGGACCGCAGAAGTGCGCGAACTGTTCGAGAAATACGGAACTGTTTTAGAATGCGACGTCGTAGGATGTCGAAACTACGGATTCGTGCATTTAGAAGTCGCTGACAATGTTAACGTTAATGACGCTATACGTGAATTAAACGGAATGGTTATCGATGGACAAGCGCTCAAAGTTCAAGTGTCGACTTCGCGCGTTCGTCAACGTCCCGGTATAATTTTATTATTGCATAACATTATTTTAATTGTTCTGCTTAAAATTCTAATCCAGTGAAAACACATCATACGATTCAATAATAACTTAAACTGTGAATCATTACAAAAGTTACTGAAATTTTTTGAATTGAAGCAGAAAAAAATTTCGCTCGAACATTTTTTTATTTTTTTGAAATTAAGTTTTTTCTTTTATCTTATATAAATATCATGAACATGCTAAGTAGCAATGGAAAATTTATTGGAGTAGCTTAACTTTTCCTCTGACTTCTGCTTTGCATTCACAGATTAACTTCTCCTAAGACCTTTTCATGTTCTTTGAAAGTAAATGTTCTAATGACTTTTGTGATTTTCATAGGTATGGGCGATCCCGAATCATGTTATCGATGTGGCAGAACTGGCCATTGGTCGAAGGAATGTCCACGAATTTGGAACGAGAGAGCTGGTGTTGGTGCATTTCGTGAAAGAGGCGCCTTCATTCCACCACCGCCACCACCTGCTTTCCTGCGTGATAGAATTATTGATGGATTCAGAGATTTTGACTACTACGACCGACGTGATGAATATGCAAGAGACATGTTTGAGAGACGTTACCCACCAATGGGCCGTGGAAGTCGTGAACGACCTTATCCGATTATGGATCGTATGCCACCACCACCTCCAATGAGCTCTATGAGTATGCGAGGACCATCGCGTGACTTCCCATCATCACGAGAGATGTTCACTCGTCGTTCACCTCCTGGTCGCTCGATGAGTCGCGGTGGTGGTTTCTCAATGTATGAGGACTTCAGTCGTGATTCATTCGATGATAGACGACCTAGTGGCATGCGTGGAGCATCACCAACGCATCGCTATGCTCCTTATTAAACAAAACAAAATTGTATCAACTTCATTATTGTTCACTTACAATAATTAATTTTTTGAAACATGAAAGGAAAGGAAAAAAAGAAACAAATTTTAAAAGGAATTGAAGATAAGAGAAAATTATTGTTGACAAGCTTTTCATGACCAACTTAAAACAGATATTTTTTATGTTCGCAAACTATATTCTCGTTGTGCTCACTTAAAAGAAAATAAACAAAATTGGAAAATATGTTTGAATGTTTTTTACATCTGTTTTGATAAATTGAGATGTTTTTTAGACAACTTTATACATAAGTCGAGGGTGTTTAGGAATTTCTAGTTTCTAAAATCGATAAAAGAGGTAAAACTGTATCTAAACATTCTACTAAAATGCGTTTCCTTAAGGAATTATAATGAGAAATTGTCTTCATACCCAAATTTCCTAAGGAAGATTAACTTAATTCGGTTTACATAGATTGTTTACATAGATATTTCTTAATCTAACTCTAAAATTCTCTTCTCAACAGATTATGCTGATTCTTCTTGGGATTACGCTGACTCAAATCAGAGAGTAAGGAAAGAAAGTTTAGCAATCTTCTAAAATTTTTCAATTCTAGAAAGAATTTTATTTAAATAAAATATCAAACAAACATTAATGAGAGTTTTCGTTAGACTCTCTTCGTCAATAGTGAAATATAGAGAATTCCTGTCGAACTTCAGTCAAAATCATTTGAAAAATTTATCGCGACACATTTCGTCGTCTCTTCAACAATCATTAAAAAGAAATCCAAATTGGGGAACAAAAAAACCACATCGAAATATAAAAATACCTTTATCTGAATATTTAAATATGACAGATCCTAAAACCGAAGAAATCCTTTCGCCGCTAAGACAAGCTGTCAAAGAACAAGTAAGTTAAAAGGCTTAACCTAATTTTTGGTGAAATGTTTACGTCAGCCGAAGTTTTTGAACATTTTTTGTGCTTTATGAGACATGAATTGAAAGTTCTTTAATAAATTGGTACCTAAATATTATTGAATTAAAAAGATGAAAAAAATAGAAACTTCAAAAAACTAAGAATAAAATTGCCAAATTTTGATTCATCTGGTAGATGATGAAGATGAAATTCAATTTGATTGATCTTCACTTCATGCCTTTCACCAAATCATCTCATTGTTCATCAATTGAAACTTTCTAATTTTTTTCTAGGGTGATTTAGTACGGCAATTGAAGACCGATGGTGCTCCTGATTTTGATGTTAAGAAGGCGGTCGCTGAGCTTAAAGCTCGAAAGAAGATCCTTGAAGATAAAGAATTGAGCTTAGCTCCCCAATTAATGTCTTTCGATCGAGCGAAAATGGAAGATTCATTAAAACGTCGATTCTTCTATGATCAAAGTTTCGCTATTTATGGTGGAATCACTGGACAGTATGACTTCGGTCCCATGGGTTGCGCTTTGAAGTCAAACATGCTTCACGCATGGCGACAATTCTTTGTACTTGAAGAGCAAATGCTGGAAGTTGATTGCTCAATTCTCACACCTGAACCAGTGTTGAAAGCTTCAGGACACGTTGATCGTTTCGCTGACTTAATGGTGAAAGATCTCAAAACTGGCGAATGCTTCCGTTTAGATCACTTGATAAAAGCTCATCTTGAGAAAGTTTCGTCGGATAAGAAAGCGACACAAGAACTTAAAGATGAATGTGAGAACATTGTGGTGAGACTTGATGGAATGACAAAAGATGAGATGGGCGCTATCATGAAGAAGTTCAACATGAAATCGCCAATCACTCAAAATGATTTAAGTGAACCAATGGAATTCAATTTAATGTTTGCAACGCAAATTGGACCAACTGGACTTGTCAAAGGATTTCTTCGACCAGAGACAGCGCAAGGAATTTTCGTCAACTTTAAACGTCTTTTAGAGTTTAATCAAGGACGTCTTCCGTTTGCTGCGGCACAAATTGGAAACTCATTTCGTAATGAAATTTCACCACGTTCGGGACTTATTCGCGTCCGTGAGTTCACAATGGCTGAAATTGAACATTTCTGCGATCCCAACATGAAAGACCATCCAAAGTTTGTCGATGTTGAGAATTATGAGATGATTTTGTATTCAGCTTGTAATCAAATGGATGGCAAAAGTGCGATGCGCTTAACGATTGGAGAAGCTGTTAAGACGAAACTTGTCGCCAATGAGACTCTCGGATATTTCATGGCACGCATTCAAATGTTCTTGATAAAAGTTGGCATTTTACCTGAAAGACTTCGATTCCGGCAACACATGGGTAATGAAATGGCGCATTATGCTTGCGACTGTTGGGATGCTGAATGTTTGACTTCTTATGGATGGATTGAATGTGTAGGATGTGCTGATCGTTCAGCTTACGATTTGACACAACATACAAATGCAACTGGAATCAGATTATCAGCTGAGAAGAAATTACCAGAACCGAAAACTGTCGAAATTACTGAAGCTGTCGCTAACAAACAAGTTTTAGGAAAAGCTTTCAAAAAAGATGCGAAAGCGATTTCTGATTTGTTAGCGAAACTTTCTGTGAGTGAAATTGAAGCGATGGATGCAGAATTAAATTCGAATGATTCCTACAAACTTCACTTGAACTCTGATGTCACTGTGACAATCAATCGAGAGATGGTGAGCGTCAAGAAAAGCTCAAAAACTTTGCATGTTGAAGAAATCACGCCGTCAGTCATTGAACCTTCCTTCGGTATTGGAAGAATCATGTACGCGTTACTTGAGCATCGTTTCCAAATGCGTGATGGCGATGACCAACGTTGCTACTTCTCCTTACCAGCTATTGTAGCTCCACTAAAATGTTCCGTACTTCCATTAAGCAACAATCAAGAATTTGCTCCATTCATAAAGCAAATTTGTGAGTTTTTAACATTTTTGTCATTTTTTTCATTTAATTGAAAATTTTATTTTCTTTAGCTTCTGCTCTAACTCGCGTTGATGTTTCTCATAAAGTTGATGATTCAAGTGGGTCAATTGGACGTCGTTACGCTCGTACTGATGAGATTGCAATTCCTTACGGCATCACAATCGACTTCGATACACTAAAGGAACCACACAGTGTGACCTTGCGTGAACGTGACACGATGGGACAAGTAAGGATCCCTCTTGATGAAATTGCTGACGTTGTCAGAAGCCTCGCTTATAGTAAAATCCAATGGGAGAATGTTGAAGCGAAATATCCAAAGTTTGAGCAACAAGAGGCCACAAAATAAAATAAAAAAGTTAAAACTGATAACAAATCGAATTGAAGCAATTAAAAGAAATCATGTCAAAGCATTTAATCATTTTATCAGAATTTTATTTGCATTAATATTTGAATAAATTGTGAAAATTATTTGAATTGTTTTAAGACATCATCGAGTCGTTTACGTAATTCGCGATTTTCAGCTTCCACTTCCATAATTCGTTGAATCTTGAAATCTTCATTCATCAGAATTCCCATACAGTTCTCAATCATGTCAATGCGATTCTGAAGTTGAGCTCGTTGATTCGTGATATGAAACATCGATTCAACGTGACGACCATTTATGTCAAAATCAAGCATTTGAAGTTCAAACTTCATTTTCTCGTGAATTCTTTTCTCAAACTCTTCAAGTTCTTTCTTAAAATTTAATCTTTCATTTTGATATGTTGACGGTCGTGAAGCTTTTGCTGATCCTTCCGGTTTTTTCTTGTTACTTTCAATGGCGACAGGAGAATCAAAAGTGTCAAGATCGATAACTTCAATTGGATCTTTGACAACTTTTTTCACTGTTTCTGGAGTGCTTGAGAATTTAAGTTCGTTAAACACTGCAGGCGATTTCAACATTTCCGTCGTGTTTTCTTTGTCGCTTTCTTCTCTTATTAAATGAAGTGGCGATGGCAAATGTGAAGATCGACGTTTTGGAGCTGAACTTTTCCCACGTTTCTGGTTCACATTGCTTTCATCACTGACAGTTTTAGGACTTTCCGTTTCAGTACAATCTTCGTAATCCTTAAACGACAAATCCTTCAACACATTTTCCATTCTCCTTCCGAACAAATCACTTTCACGTCTTCCCACACTTTCTCTGTAACTTTCTTCATCTTCGGCTCTAAATAAACTGACACGCGATGAGCAGCTCATGTTGAGATCTGATATTTGACCTTTTCGAAATTTTGACAACTCTTCAATTTCCATTGTGACATCATTTTCAATTCCTGGCACTTCTGACAGATCCAAAGTTTCAATTGATTCCATATTTGCTAATCTTGAATATTCTCCACTAGAATCGCCAGATAACGACATAAAGTGGACGCGAGTCACTGGTTCAGTGCCGACATTCTTCTTCGATAAAGATCTGGTCAAGTGTCGGACATCAAATGTGATGACATCACCTTTAAGATTACCAACAACGAAAAGTGATCCACATTTTGGGACGCTCATGGTGCAAAGGCCACAATTTAAATGTATTTGTTGTCCAATTTTCTTAGTTCTTGTATCGAAAATGTTAATTTTACTATCGTAACCACAAGAAAAAAGCCAATTTGGAGCATCTTCACACATTGCGATGTCACTACAAGGTGCACGATGAGCATGGCGTTGTTCATACACTGAACTTCTCGATGCAATGTCGTAAATCATGACAGCTCCTGTAAACGATGCCATTGCTAACGGTAAACGTCTTCCTGGATGAAATCTGGCGATAATTGTTTCTTTATCAGGACGAAAATTTGCGGTTTTGACTTTCGTTTGAAGACCAAAAATGCTGACATGTCCATTTTCATAAACACTTGATAAGAACCCTCCACAACTGCTGAAATCTACTGATATGACGCTTGCTTTGTTGTTTGGCTCTAACATTAAAAAAACATTAAAAATCATCTAAATTACATTTGAAATCAGTTAAATTTACCTGGTTTAAAAGTTGCAATAATATTATTCTTCTCATTCAATTCAATGACTTTTATTTGTCCTGTATTGTATCCAATTGCATATTCTGGATGTCCTTCTTTGTTTTTGCTACAGCAAACTGATTGAACTCCATCGGTTTTAGTTTTTCTTATGCGATCGAATGTTTCTTAAATATTTTAATAAAAATTATCAATTTTTGTCATATAATTTGCAAAAAAATATCAAACCTATTCCATCAATTCTTTTAAGTCGCCAAACTTCAGTCAGTTCACTTTTATGAATTTGAACAAAACATTTTGAAGCGGCAGAACTCTTAAAGACAGCAGCATCACTTGAGAATTGTGGTATCTGTGGATCTTTACTACAAACAATTGACAAATCACTTTCAGAAGTGTGCAAGTGAGTTTTATGATTTGTTACAGACAAAACTTGCATTATTTTTACTATTTTTAATATTTAAAGCTGTTGATGCAAGAAAATGTACAAATTCAAATAAATTTAAAAAGTTGCAAGCCCCGCTACCCAGAGTGTTTTTTCCTCTTTCATCCCACCTGCTAAGAACTTCTATGTTGCGCTAAAGATTTTACTCCACTGGGTGCCTTCCTAACTCGTTGGTTTACTGGGATATAAGAAGAAAAAAATATTTCTTCTCGAAATATAAAAAAGCGAAATAAATCCAAAGTTATTGTTTGAATTATACACCAAAAGCTGAAAATTCATGTAAAGACAAGTGAGAACTGCAGTGTAGTAAAGAAAGAAAAGTTTAAATTGATTTTATGTAAAAGAAATGCAAGACTTTTGAATCACATATGAAAAAGTAAATAAATGAATGATGGAGCCAGAATTTGATTGCGATCGCTTTGAAAAGAAGTTATTAAACCTTAAAGATACGCAAGACTCTATCACTGGACTTTCCAAATGGTGTTTAAGTAAAAGAAATGCGCATAAGCAAATTGTTAGGAGTTGGTTAAATGTCTTAAAACAAGGTGAATCCATACTGGATCTTTTTAGAATCCAGATTATAACTTATGTTTATTTTAGTTAAAATTGAGAGCCGTTTAACGCTGTTCTATCTTGCAAATGACGTCATTCAACATAGTAAGAGGAAAAATTATGAATTTGTTGACAGCTGGGGAACGACATTACAGAAAGCAACAACTTTGGTGAGGGATGGCAAAGTGAAAGAGAAAATCTCAAGAATATTCAATATATGGGAGCAGAGGGAAGTGTATAGCGAGGACTTTATTGCTGATCTGCATGGTTTGCTTGCAATAAATCCTGGAAAAAAGTCGTTTTCATCAACATCTTCGTCGTCCATTACGGCGGCAATTCGAACAGTTTCCCCCCTTGCTGTGAATCAACAACAAAAATCTGATGAATTTGAAGATGAGTTTCAGCTATCAGGAGTCGTTTCAAACATTAGAAATTGCGTTTCACTAGAAACGGAAACAGATAAAAATCTAAAGATTGTTGTAAAAACTCACGTACCGGACATGGAGAAGACGAGAAGCAATCTTAAAGGTGATAACTTTCATTAATTTAATAAATTATTTTAATTATTTTATATTTTAGATCGGACACATGTCGATGAAGTTGAGAAAGACATCGAAAATGCATCCACTAAATACGAGCTCTTTATTTCGAGTTTAAATGCTGAGATTAAAGCAAGAAAACTTCTCTTGACTGCACTTGATCAAGCTGATAAGTTTTATCGTAACCAAAGAAGAGACGTCAAAAAAGTTGTTTATGTGAGTTTAATTAAAGATTTTTACATCTTTCAGACATTTTACATTTTTTTCTGTTTTCTAGGCGTACAAAAACTTTGGCGATCGAATAAAAACAATTCAAACAGAACTCAATGCCAAAATTCCCCAACTTTCAAGTCCAATTCCATCACCAGACATTAACGCACCTTCACCTGAACCTGATGACAATGATTTTGATCTTCCTGGTGACATGAACTTTTATAATTCGAGCTTAAATGGATTCGGATCTTTTCTCAACAACGACACTCCACTTCCATTTGATTTGAATGAGTTTTATCGTGAATCGCCACCGCCAGTTGATCGAAATTCAATTCAAGTCATTAGCACGCAAGATCAACAGCAACAATCGTCAGCGCCACTGAATGACTTTTACAATTCGCTCATCCCATCAAAGCTTGAAGCTTATAATCCTGAAATGAACTATGCTGGAAGTTATCAACCGTCACAGCCTCCACTTCCCTCTGCAGCACCGCCAATGAACAATTATCCGAATAATAACGTGCAAACTACAAATTATATGATTGCCCCACCACCTCCACCTTCCACTTACAATCCGTCACCTCAATTGGACTTCACACAAACCATGAGCTCAAATGTTCCGCCATTACCACCACCATTGATTGACAACAACGTCGCTGACGAATATTCATGGAATAATTGGACTTCATCAACTGTTGAAACTCCACATTCGCCACCACACTACGAGCGGAAGGGACACGATTCAAATATGATTGAATATGTCGATGATAGTTTAAGAAACATTTCAGACTCAAGTGACGTTGATCATCGACAATTGATGGATGAACTTGAAGGAAACATTAAAGGTGAGAATTATGAAAGAGAAATTAAAGTTCAACTTGACAAATTTTATTTTTCTTTTATCAGACGTTGATCATAGAAATTTAATTTCATTAACGGGATCTCCAGGACAAAATTTGGCCAAAGATTCTGTAAGTTTTATTTCTTCTCTTTGTCAATTTTGTTCTCTTCTAAATTTATTCTTTGTCAGGATCAACAGCAAAATTATGCCAATCAAAATCCGTCAAACGGAAGTGAACAATTTTTGGGGCCACCCGTTGATCCACCTCAGATTTTCAATAAATTTCTGGTAATTTTTATTTCTTTCTTTAATTCACTTTGAAATCTTTCACGGAAATTTTGTAATTGTCAAGGCAATGTCGGAAACTGTTGACATTTCAAAGCCACCCAACTTTGTTAATCGCATTCAAAGACCGCCACTTTTACCAACACCTACAATGCCTCCAAGATTCAATCGAAACACGAGCATGAATAACGATTCATCGAGGGGAATGAATGGACCTGATGACATCGAAACAGTTGACATGGAGATGTCTGATGATGATACAGGAATAGATAATCGAAGTGTTGGATCGTCAGGTGGTGGTGAGTTGCTTATCTTTGCGATGTTTCTTAAAAAATTAAACAAAAATCTTTCAGATCATCGCGACTTTGCCATGAACATGTTTTCTCTTCCACAACAAGTCAACATGAACCGTCCGCCACCTCCAGTGATGTCTGAAAATGATATGAACCAACAAAGGAAGTCCTGGATTCATAATCATGTCAATGAACAAGATGATGGGAATAATCAGATGAATGACAATTCACAAGGACTTCTGGGCGTCGGTCCACCAAACTTCATGCCAAGAAATAATTTTCAAGGAAATTTCCGTGCTAATCGTGGTGGGAAAATAATGCGAGGCGGCAACAACAACATTTCACCTTACAACAACGTCAATAACAACAACTTTCGTAGTGGTCGTGGTGGACCGATAAGGCCACGTGGTCGTGTTGGCTTTCGTGGAAACTTCAAAGGTCAGGGTCAATGGTAAAGAGAATTTAAATGAAAAAAATAAGAGCAAAGTAGCATTTCGATTCAATAGCGATGGAAGAGGAAACTTTTTAAATGTTTTTAGCTGTAAGACTTTTGAATCATTTTATGAGTGTTTAAATAAACGTTTAAGATGATGATTGCTTAGTGCTTATAGGATCCAAGATTGAACTCCAAAGGAAAGCGAGTTTAATGAGAGAAAAACTAAAAACTTTGAACTTGAATATTTATGAAACAATAAAAGAAAGATTAATTGATGATTTTTGGAATTGTTAGATATCATGTTAAGATTTAAAAATTATTATTCATCATAATCACAGACACAAACTTAAGTACTCTGTACGAAACTTTTGAATAAATCCCAATAAATTTTGTTCACTCTTTTTGATTGATATCTTATCATCACAATTTTACTCTCATTCAAAGTAGTCAAAACATACAAAACAAAAACTTATTTTTAAAATTATTTTTAAATTATTTAATAAATAAATGAAAAATAGCATTTTTTTCTCATCCCCCTTTGTATTGCTATGTGCACTTTTATTGATCAACAAAAATCAATGTTTGCGAGGTGATTTTAAGTGACTCATTCACTTTTTATGTTCTACATCCATTTGGGCTGTGATTTTAAATTTAACATAAAGAATATTTAAGAACATAAAATTTGAATGGATAAAATTATCTCCCAAACATTATTAATTATCGGGCATGGAGTTTCTGACATTGAAGTGCCTTTTCACGTCTTGATAATTGAACTTTTACGATCAATTCTCTATCAAAAATGATCTCTACTAGTCAATATTTTGGTTTCCTTTTTGAAACATGAGCCCAGTGATCGAAGAATCATCATCTTAGATAACTCATAACATTTTATTTATAAGAGTACAAAGAAATTTGATTATTTCAATGTGAATTTTGTTTCTTTTTCGGAGGCGAAACATTACGAAAATTTTTATGTTAAAATTATTGTACATGACTAAATTATTCTTAAGATGAAATTCTCTTTAGACATTAATAATGTTTAATCATTATCGCAATTTATTAATGAATGAAAATAATAAGATTAGATTTTAAGGAACATTGTACAAAACAACGCAAAAGTCAGTAAATTAACGAATGAAAATAAATCTGAAAGTTGAAGAAATAAAAAATGAAATTGTTTGAAACAAAATAATTCGGGACTTTATTTACCGACTAGAAAACACTTAAAACTATCTTAAATGACACACATCCCCTTGTGTTTATTTAATGATTATTGTAAAGCAGGTGCAGGAATATATTTTAATTATTAATTCTTGAAAACATAATTTTTACTACAAACAAACATGCATAGGAATGCAAATGTTTCTTTTTACTTCACATCTTCATAATTTTATAAATAAACTTTAATTTGAGAATGTTCTTAAACTTCACTAGGATTATTATTCAAAGCTTTCCGACAATTGTTGTTATCACTTGCCGATTCAAAAAGCGTGTAAGTGCTTTCATCGGTGCCTTTCTCAAGCATTTCACACATTGCTTGTATATATGTTTGTGCCATTTGCAATGTCTCATATTTTGATAATTTATAATCTACATCAAGTTTTGGAACAACTTCGCGTAATCTGGAATGAGAAGAAATTTTTTTTAATATTTTCACACATAAAATTGGAGTTAGATTAAGATTGATTAGAGTTAGATTAAGAGATTACTCACCTGTCAAAAGCCGTGTTCAGTCCATTCATTCTCCTTCTTTCTCTTGCATTCGCTGCTAATCTTCTTTTCTTTAATATCGTCGGACTTGGAGGTGATTCCGATCTTTTTGTATTTCTTTTATTAATGTTTTCTTCATTGTTATTTTTTATTCCTTTCTTTCGCCCACGCGACTTTTTCGATATATTTTCACCAACAGAAGATGTTGTTTGATTTTCATCCGAGTTTGTTGAATTTAGATTTGAACTTTGGCAATAAAATGAGGTTGAAGTTAAAGTTGGTGATGAAATCGATAAATCACTTTGATTTATAAATACTTCCGCACTGCTATTCCACAATAAATTATCGTTCGGAAATGGATAATTGTATGGAGCATACACATTCCCATGATCTGAAGTTGAACTCATCATAATTGGATAAGATTGGATGTGATTGGGAGTGTATCCATTATAAGATTCAATTTCCATTGCTATGTAATTTATTTATTTACTTTCTCACTCTAATTAATCTAAATATTTCTGATGTTGCATCACCGACAACATGAACTCAACTGATCAGTCGCCTTTACATTTATCCTTTAAAAAGTTCCTATGAGCTTTTTTTTTAAATTTCCAGTCGTTGTCGGGGGTTGCGAATGAAGACGGGAAGGGATAATGACATTCATGATGATCCCTTTTCCGTATGTCGAGCAGTAATCTAAATTGGTATCATCTGGTTGAAGACATCAAGTAATAAAGGGAAGGAAAAAGTGCAACAAATTTCAAGGCTCGGATCGGTAACATGTGTTGGAAGGTTTTATTCTACGATTGTTTATATGTGTGCACAAATGACTGACCCAGTTGGTCGATTTGTTCTTTCTCCGGCACGCACCAAATACTCGCTTATTAAAATTTATTATTGTTCTTTGCGGCTTTTCAACTTCTTATTGTCTTACGGTATACCAAGAGAGTTGAAAGAATTTTAAGGAGAAATCGGAATGAACAGATGCAACTTTTATTGTTTTACTTAGTTGGTTACTTAGCGGGATCATTTGTGTAATTATAATGTGGTGAGAAAAGCGTGCCTTTCTTTGACGACTAAAGTTATTTTATTTCATTTCTTGACTCTTCAAATATCAAATTTATGTAAGTTCAAGAACCTTCCATAAAATGCAAATATAATTTGGAATATCTAATGTTCTCTTTCTTACCTTGACACGGCTGAGTTGATTAGATTGTGATATGAATCATCTGGATAAGAATGATGCGCTGTAGTGGTGGAATGTTTCAACGTGAATAAATTTTAGAATATTTTTCAGACATGGCTTTTGGCTCAATGTTACCCCTCTATTGAATAATTAGCAAGTTAATCATCAGTCATGAACCCAACATTCACCCTCGAATGTCGTTCATCAAAGTTAAATTTTTTTAAGAACTGTTGTTTTGATCGTTATGGTTCGGGTGGTGAATTATGCTATCCGACTTCAAAGTTGACGTTTTAAAAACTGAAAATTTTGTGAATTGTTAAAGCGTCAGTTGGTGACTGAAGCAAGGAAGAAGAACTAACATGAAACGCTTGATGACTTTACATTGGATAGAACGAAATTATTGATTGATTGATTATTGACGATTCAAACTCAATTTAAATTAATTAAAACGACAAATTTCATGCTTCAGTTGTTGATGTTTCTTCAGTGACTCCCAACTCTATTGTGATACTTAATTAAGTTTTCAAGTTATGTAACAAGTTAAACTAAAATCCTGACATGACTTTCAGAATCATTCATGAGAAATTTACCACCCGATCGCTAACACATCTTCGGTGATTTTCAAAGAAGTTTTCGATTTGTTTTCTTTAGTTTCAATCATAATTAAGGTTAAAATTTCAGCCACATCTTCACTGAAGACCTCAAGAATGACTCGCATGTTTTATTTTTCATAAAAGGGATAAGAGAATTATTGCCAATGATTTATGACAAAAACCAAAGATTTCTTTTAGATTAACTTTCAACATAAATGCTTCAGAAGATATCTAAGATTTCAACCTGATATTTCTTTTAAAATTACAGGGACGGAAACGTTAGTTTAAAACAACTTACAAATTATTGCAATCTTAATTTAAACTTCAAACATCATAAATCTTTGGAAGGAAAAAAAATACACAAAAATTGTTGCATCAATGATAAGTGAATTCGCACGCAGTTAAGCAAATTGCACTGAGCAGCAATCTTCTTGTCAGCGCATCTCATAACTTTGCATTAAAGTTTTTCATTTCTTACGTTAAATATCAAACTGTAAACTATTATAATTCATGATTGGAGATTCATTTTAAATTACCGATCAGTAATAAATTGAAATGAAATTATCTAATTTCAAATGTTTCTCTTTGTGGGAATTAGAAAATGAATTAGAATAATTGAAATGTTTTCCACTTGATAACATAATCGTCGGTTATTTAATATTTCTTTGAAATTTTGCACATTGTTGCTTTATGATTTATTTGTGTTGTTACGAAATGTTTATCGAGCTTGTTGCGTATTATAAAAATCAAATCTTCCGCTTTCTTCCAACTCCAGTTAATCTACAAGAAAATATTTTTCAAGCTGCGTCTTCAACACAACATAAAACAATCCTTTCGCTTTCTTTTCCTTTTTATGCTTCTTAAATTTGAAGTGCAACATTATCTTTGAGGAAAAAAATGTGAAGCAAAGCGAAATGATTAATGATTGAATTTTTTGGATCTTTTGTTACATCCGTTCCACCTTCCTTTATTTATCGTTTCATGAGAACATCGTAGCAGCGAGCTTTATGCTTTTGTGATCTTAAATAACAATGCCAAGCAACATAAATTCGTTTCCACGACGATTCCATTAATTATTTGATCGATATGTTGTTACAAATAATAAAAAATCGAGCAATGTCTGCTTCAAGTGTTCGTCAAAAGCCATCCGATGACGCTTTTTACGAGAATTTGACTTTGGGATTAATTAAAGTATTAAGCAACATACCACGAATAACGAACATTAATTACGATAAAAGAAATCCCGCTGAAAGAAATAGTGTGAATGCTTGGGAGTCGCGACACAACGTCATACTTCCACCTGATATGAAAGCATTTTATCTTTGTACCGACGGATTTTGTTTATTCTGGTCTTACGAGTATTCAGCGAATGATGTTAAGCGTGTTGGTAAAATTCATATTCCTCATTTGATTCAAATTACGTTAGTACGCGAGAATCTTGAAACGATTATGGCATCACCAGGAAATCAAAACTCACCGAAACCAACGATTTCAATCGCGAACGATGCAATTCCACCGTTAAATCTGACAACGAAAAGTAAAATCTTCGAATTGAGCAACATTTTAGAAATGGCAAAAGTTGTGATGCTTTATGAAACACCTGAAGCATCTCCAAGGATTTATTTACTTGAGATTGACACTTTGAAACTTCAATTTCTTGCTGACACATTCTCGGAATATCTACGAATGGCGATCGCTCATCTTGGCCTCCCTTACTGGGAACTCTGCTTCTCAACAGCGTGTTCATTACCAACATGGACGCAGGTAAAATTTTTACAAATGAAATAAACTCAACGAACACCTAACGGATTGAAATATTTTTTCATTTTCATTTCTTAGCAATTATTTTTACTGTTGGCTCCACATTTACTCGAGAATAATGAACCAAGACGAAATACAAGAAGCTTTCATAATGGAACTGATGAAACTCCACCGTTTAATACTTTAGATCCATCAGTTTTCAGAAACAAACCGAAATCATCGAAGACACCTAAAAATCGTTGAAAATTATTTCGACACGTGTAAGATTGCAAAAAGAACGAAAGATCTATCAAATGCAATCTTTTCCATCTTTCATTTTGATTTATTTCCTACTCGGATTTAATTATGTGGTCAACAACAAATGAATCGACTGTCAATACCTAGTTAGGCACAAAATATGATTGATATCAAATTGTGTTCGGACAGTTCCTTGAAAAAAGTTTTCGGAAACTCATAAATAAAACATTTATCTAATAAAGCGATATTTCATGATTTTCACATAATGTTTTATGTGGGGATGAATTTAACATTGTTATGAGACCGCAACAAATTCTTCTCAAAGACCATCAAAGTCATGAAAGCGTTTAAAATGGGACGAACCTAAACTATTAACTAAACAGATCCAAACTCTATAATCACAACATTTTAGCGCCATGCACATTGCGAAAAAAACATAAAATTTCTCATGCTTCATTTAATATCAGCATTTGTAAAGAAAATAAAGAAAAAGGTTCATTCAGGTCAGAAAAAGTATCGAGAAATTCTTTAGACTGTTCGTCTTTAACAAAAAGTTTTTTTAGAAATTTCAGCAGTGATAAAAATTGAAATTTTTCAATTGAAGTTTAATTTGTGACATTTTAAATCCCAATTAAATTGGTAGCTATTGTCAATGATCCAATGACAGAATTTCTCGTCTTCGTTCACATCAAGTGTTTCTTATTAATTTGTTTATTATTTATTTATGAATGAGTGAATGAAGGAAAGCAAACGGAATAAATCAAGTTAAGAAAAGAAATCCACAAACGAAGAAATTGTTTTTATGATATTCAATTTCCACAATTCATTAATGAAGAATAAAATAAAAGTAGCCGTAAAATTATTACAAATTACATCCGAAAATAAAGAGAGAGAGAGAATCGTTAGATGAATACGCGCTGCGATGTGCTATGCTGTTGGTTGGTGCCCTCCGGTGTTACTTTGGTGCTTTATTGGATAATTTTTGCTCATTACCAGGCGCCCAATTAAGGAACGAGATGATGAAACTCTTTTATTGATGGGAAACAAAAATATTTTGACGGACAAGAAGCAAGAAGCGGGAAGTTCTCGTTTACATAAATTTGAATGTAAATCTGTGAAATGTGCTAACGAAATTAAAATTCAATTTGAGAGTCTCATTTAATTCAATTGATTTCAAAACATTTTTGACTGCACTTTAATTTAGTTGTGAATATTAGATCTGGCGTAAGGCGAGGAATTATTAATCTTTTTATTAGGAACAATGTTCATTGAAATGTAAAATCGAAGACATTCAAAGCTTGTCAGCTTAAAGCTTATTATTGATTTAGTTTGTTGTTACTTAATAATTTCAGATTTTACAAACTTTAAAATTAAACAAAATATTCCAAGAAAACTTCAAATTCAGAAGAAAGTGACAAACATTCATGAGTGTTCAAGATGTCAAGGTATGTGACATTTATACTCTCATGAATTCATAAAAACAACTGATAACATAAATTTCTTATAAAATTAAAAATATTATGATTTTCTCTCCAGTTGAATCTGAAAGTGTCACGAGAGAAGTCGGAAAATAAAATTTCTTGTTCGTCATGAGAATAAAATTTGTTGCTTTATTTTTTGCAATCTTTTCATTATTTCAAGGTTTAATTGCGTAAGACGAAATAAATTAATGATTTTGATTGTACAACTA